ATGAATTGGATTGAGGATGACATTATCTTTGATCAAATGATAATGAAAACATTTGGAAGTTTTGAACTAAACTCAAGAACATTAAACTTTTGATTTTTGATGCACTGAGCTTTTCTTTTTTTTTTTGCTTAGGACAATATCGACTAATTTTTAAAATATGACTTTAGTGGTTTTTTTTTTTTTTTTTTTTTTTGTTCTTTTCTAAAACTTTGTCTTCAAAATAAGGGTGCATCTTATTATTCATCAATGTATCTCGTATTCTGAAAAATATGGTAATTAATTAGCTGTTAGGGAGATCACATGATTCATTAACATTCAATTATTAATGATTGTGTGTGGGTTTTTTTGGGTTTTTTTTATAAAAAAAAAATTTACGCCTTAAGGAGTGCTGTTTAAACGGTTAAAAATTGCTTCATGCCTAATAACAGGGTTAAAATATTTTTAATGTTATCAGTAAGACAATTGGCTGCAACTAAAAATTTAATGAGCATTAGATGCCCAATCCTTGGTGGGGATAGCTCTATCACAGATATTGAGCCTTTTCCACTAAGTACCACACACATACAAACACATACACACACACACACATATATATATATATATATATATATATATATATATAGTTCCTTAACTGGTTGAGCACTCCTGTTCTTACAAAAAATGGATAAGATCGACTTAGGGTACTTGCTGATAAGCATACCTATACCTGACTGATCTTCCTATAAATTTCTGCTAAGTGAAAAAAAATCAAAAGTCTTATAAGAAGAATGAGATGGAAGGCACAGCATTACCTCAGTAGTGTAACAAACAAGAACATTGGGAAAACCGAAACATTCTGCCTGAATACAAAGAAATGCCCACCTAAGTGTAAGGAAAAGCATAAATAAATCTACTTTTGAAAAAATAAATTGGTTTGTCTGATGATCGCAAAAGTATGAAACCCAGGGTTACAGACTAATTCCATGCAGCTGAAAATATACATACATACATACATACACACACACACACACACACACACATACATATATATATATATATATATATATATATATATATATAATGCATGTTTCATTATGTGAATTCTTTTCATGTCGTCTGATAAGCTTAATAACATTATCATTAAATGAAGAAAGAAAATCACAATATTGATACATATTTTTTAATCCTATCTAAGCTTTCGGCTTACATAAGCCAGAATTTTTAGTTTTTGTTTATTGTTTTCATGTTTAAGTATAGTTGTGTTTTCAACAAAGATTTTCTGGAGTTGTGTATGCGGCCAGGCATGTTGTTTTAAAACATGCCTGGCCAGAAAATCCTTGTTGAAAACACAACTATACTTAAACATGAAAACAATAAACAAAAACTAAAAATTCTTGAAGCTATATACATAAAACAGTTGAAACCTAACATGAACAAAATAAACTATGAAATCTCCACAAATATTAAGTACCTTAACTGGTAACAGAAGCCATTGGTTTATACCAATGGCTTCCCATACTTAATACTTCTAGTTTTCACTCTCACATGGTCATGTGTGAAGTCATGAGCTGCAGTACGATTTTTCGCTTCCAATGTCTTGTATGCACAAGTTTGTCGTTGCTTGGAAATCTTCCATGCAAATAAAAACAGACTATCATCACTGTTTTGTCCGTGTATTGCTAGAATATATTGTAATGTAATTGTCATCTTTGATAATGGCTTATGTAAGCCGAAAGCTTAGATAGTATTAAAAAATATGTATCAATATTGTGATTTTCTTTCTTCGTTTAATGATAAGCTTATCAGATGATATGAAAAGAATCTACATAAAATAAACAAACACTTGTTTATATTATTTCATGAAACGTGCATCAATGAAAAAATGCTGCCTAAACACACACACATACACATATATATAGTTATTATATACCAACATACAAGTAATCACTACAAAGATGTATATATGCATGCTTATATTAGGTATCGAAACAAAAATGCATCTTTTTAGTGATTACTTGTATGTTGGTATGTAATAACTTATAATAAATAACTATTGCTCTACTTTTGATAGTGAGAAGTCTTTTAAATTAATGTTCTGAACATTTGAATTTATATTCTTTTTGTTCTCATTACATTTGGAGATATATATATATATATATATATATATATATATATATATATATATATATATTTTTTTTTTTTTTTTTTTTATAAGCATTTCACCCCAAGCAAGGCTGGAAGCCACTAGCACGCAAGAGGTTACATAGGATTTGGAGCGAGTGCAGATAGGAGTGATAGAGGAAAGGATGAAGAGAAGGATAGTGGATAGATCAAGGCAACTGGAGATGTCTATTGACATTACATTTGAATAGTTGGAGATTATAGCTATCAGGGAAACAGGAAAAGGGAAGGGAGTTCCACAGGCGAGAGGTGTGAGATATGAAGCTATTGGGGTAGAAGAGACGGCCACATTTAACAGTTTCAAGAGTGAAAGGGTGAGAGCGGGATGCCAGCCTCATAGGACGCTTGAATTCATGAGGCCTGGGAACCAGCTATATATATATATATATATATATATATATATATATATATAAGAACAGTAAGATATATAATCCAGTGTTCTTATAGATATTTTTATTTTTAATTTAATTACAACATTAAATTTGAAGCTTTTAGCTTCCATTTTTGAAACATGGTTAGGAATGTGTAGTGAAAAAAAACATATTTTTTTAAATCAATTATTATTTATATATATATATATATATATATATATATATATATATATATATATATATATATATATATATGAAGAAATATAGTCTTAAGATGTGCTATATTTATGAGATAAAGTGCTCAATAGCAGAGATTATTTTTAGACTTTTTTATATGTCGATGAGGCTATTATATTTGTGCTGATCATGTCGTTATCCCTGTTTTTTATTTTCTTAAACACTGAAATTTTAACAACTGGGCAAAATCAAGAAGTTCTATTAAAGAAAAATTGTCTCCAACAGGAATTGAACCTGCATCCCTTTTCTTCATCAGGAAAATGACTTTCTGAGCCAAAGCATGCCTCTACCAGTTCTGGTATGACACCAGCCTGACCTCAAGGTTTAAATTAACTATTTTATGACATTTGCCCAGCCAGTCCGTTCGATGTTCAATCCCTGTGGCTGACTGTTGAATGGATTCCTTTCGATCCAGGCCTTGCCTTGTCCCATGTTGTATTTGATTTAGATCACAAGGCTGACAAGGATCAATTGCCAACAAGAATCATTGAATTGGTCTGTGGTTTAAATTAACTATTCAAGGAAAGCCCATCTCTCGTTGAGACTTCTATGAATCGATAAATCTACTAACTTCAGTTTTGTATCTGAAACATAAACGGAAACAGTCTTTCTTTAGTATGACTTTTCAGTCTCAGTCTGTTGCTATTAATTTCACTCTGCTGCCTCCCCCACCCCAAATACAGGGACAGCAATTCAAATACATTTAACCACTAAAAATAATGTTTATAGAAATATGAAATAATATCTGATAAAATATTAAAATATATATAATAAAAATTTAAGGTATGCTATATTTATGGGTAAAAGTGCTCAATATTATAAGATAGAGCTTATGTAACTATAAAAATGGACACTGAGATGCAACAATCTGTTTCATGCTTGATCACAATCTACAGGCCATGTCAAGCATGAAATACTGTCTCTCTCTCTCTCTCTCTCTCTCTATATATATATATATATATATATATATATATATATATATATATATATATATATATATATATTATTTTTCTTACTCAATTTTCTAAATCTACCAAAAATTAATCTGAACTTGAGAGGATCACACAAAAACTAATCAACATATATCTAAATTTTTAAACCAGTCCCGTTTGAATGAAAATATATATATATATATATATATATATATATATATATATATATATATATATAAAAGGCTAATGCAAATAAAATTTGTCACTTAGCTGATCGATGTTACTCAATTCAATTTTCATAAATTTTTGTAATTATTCAGTCTACGCTTCAGGAGGTTTCGCAATTAACTACCTTTTTTTTTTTTTTTTTTTTTTCCTTGTGTTTTCTTTATTGCAAGTTTTGCCGGTAAGGAAGGAAGGAAATATAAAAAGAAATCCCCCATTGTATTTTATTGCTGATTGGTACCTTAACATGCTCTCAGCTCGTCTTATCACTAACCACTGAACCTATGGCTTTTTCACCATTTCCTTGTTTAGTGTTTGTCATTTTCTGCAAGTATAAACTAAATATTTCTGGAGTTAGTGAAGTTTTGATGAGTAGGATGGCTTATAGCCATATCATGTTGAAACACAGATTCTCACCAAATCACTGAAGTTAAGCAATGTTGAGTCTGGTCTGTACTTAGATGGGTGACAGCTCAGAAATACCAGGTGCTTTACGCTTGAATGTGCAAGTGTCATGGATAACAGCTCGGAATTTGACATTGGAAAGCCAAGTTAAAATTTTGATTGTGTTCATTATATTCACTTATGTGCAAATATCCTTGGGAAAAGTATTAATCCACCTCTTCTCCTTCCAGCTATGGATTAAATAGTAGCAAAACCATTATTCTCAAAAAAAATTTTACAATCTAAAAATGTTTTGGCTTTAAATAACCTTAAAAGGTTGGTAAGCAAACAAATCAATCAATTGATGAGTAGATATTGATTTTTGAAAATTTTTTTCATTGGACTGGAAATGAGGAAGAAATAGATTGTTGTGGATTAAGGGCAAACTTCACTGACAGAAGAGAACTGTTCCATGTATAATGCAAGTGCATTGCTAATTATTCTTGAAAATAAGGAAGAAAGCAATTGTCAGAAATTTATGCCAATATTACAAACAGAAGTGTTAAATGTAAAGTTTATAAAACATTTTTTAAGCACTTTGAATATGTTCCTTTTTGAATATGTTTCATAGAGCAACAAGAAAGGAAAGTATGTTTGAAATTCTAATGATATTTGTTTTTTCTCATTTCAGGAAGATCTATACCAGCAACTAAAGAATTGTAACAAAAGTAAGTATGACTTTAAAATAAAAATCTGTTGAAACTCTAAGAATGGTGGTGGCATCATGCATAAAATTAAAATGGTTTTACATCCAGAAATAAGGAGCTTAAGGCCATATCATTTTGAAACACCAGTTCTTGCATGATCACCGAAGTTAAGCAATATCGAACCTGGTCATGACTGCTTGGGAATACCAGGTGTTGTAAGCTTGGATGTGTGGGTCGTGTAATGGATAACGGCTTGGAATTGGCAAATGGAGAGCTGAGTTTCAAATTCAGTCAAGTTTATGTTCACTTGCACACAAATACTCTTGGAAAAGGTACTCGTATGAATCCACCTCTTCTTCCCCAAACTATGGGTTAATTAGTAGGACTTGTATCAGTAAAACATAATCAACCCACCACCAAAAAAAAAAAATTCTTACAATTGAAAAATACTTTCTGGTATTAAATAACCTTCAAAAGTTTGATAATCTGTAAAAAAGCCAATCAATCCAGAAATAAGATATTGCATTTTACATAAATTATAGTAATGAGGTTTCTTCTTGCATAAAAGTTGTGTTTTTTTTTTTTTTTTTTGTTTTTTTTTTGAAAGTTTTAATTTGTCTATCATATTTGCTACTAGTGAGATATTTGAAACTCAAACTCAAGGCTGAGTCTGTAAAACAATCCTGAAGATTCTATTTCTTCTACCTGAGATGAACTACCTGTCCAATCAGCCATTGACAAAAAGAGAAAAAAATAAATTTTTTCAAGCATGTAAATAATGTTTATTATAAATTATTTATTTCTTGTAGATATATTTGAATATCTATAAAATGAGACTTTAAAAAAAAAAGCAAAGAAATAGCATGTCAAGTAACACCTCCTGTTAGCATAACAGAGTATTGGGTTTTGTGTTTACCATAACAATGGAATATCTCATTAGATCTTTTTAGGGAGCTCAGGCTGCTTTTTTCTCTTTTATTTTGTGAGCTTTCTCTGTATTTTTACTTTTTAATGATTTTGAAAAACAAAAACAAAAAAAAAATTCCTTCTTACATTCAACAATAGAATTAATTATATATATTGGGTTGGTGCATAATTATCAGACATTTTTAAACTATTTATTATGAAAAAAGAAACACAACAATTCAACAATAACAATTTTAAATGAGTATGATTATTGACACACATTTTTATAACCTGAAAATAAATTAATTTTTTATTAATAAATAAACAAAAGAGTAATTTTTATTAACAAATAACTTGCCTACAAAAACGCCTGATAATTATGCACCAGCCCAAAATATCCTACATTACTCATGCAGAAAATATAACCAATGTAATTGCAAAACTACTTAAAAATTGTCATCATTTGTTGCATGGATGGTGAAATGTTCAGAAATCTCAAAGCTGGCAGGTGAAAAAAACCGACATCATGAAAGTAGTTATCTCCCATGCACTGACGACACTAGGTGGCAGTGTTATTGCTATAATAATGGTACTGTTCCGAAATGTTTACAAAACCAGATGAAAAGACAGACTCCATGAAAGAACAGATAACAACAATAATGAAAATATATTTAACAACTCACACATGTGAAAAGTCTTTTAATAGTAAGGATTTAACAAAATATTAATTTTATATATGCAGTCATTTTTAAAGGCATGGATAAATTTGTTACTCAAGTAGATACATGACATCTCAGTCAGTTACAAATGTAGAATCATTGGCTAATAGGTAATCTAGATCTACAATGGGGCCCCAAAAAAACACTAATTGGACAAATTACATTAAAAAAAAAATATATTGACATATATTTCATGTGCTGAAAAATTCTTGATTCAACCACAAAGAGATTAAAAAAAAAAAAAAAAAAAAACAATTGCCATGTTTGGACAACGGACATTTAGTCAGATTTTGTAAAGTGGGATGTTTTGAGAATTTTTCATCACCTCCCATTTGATTATTACATCTCTAAAATTCCTTACATTTGGTATGCATGTTTACTGGAGCCAAGAGAAAAAAAATGTTCATTATTTCTGTTATCGGAATTCATTTTCATTGTAACAATTACCATTTTCAACTGCTTGGTGTAAGACTATAATTTCTTTTGTAACTATTAATGTCTAGACAACAGAAATTCCTAAAGAATTGTTTTAATGTCATCATAACCAGCTTCAATCAAAATCTTAACCTCTTAACTCTTAGATGGATATTTCACCTTTGACATTTGAAATCTTTTTTTCCTTTTTAAGCTGTTTGCGCCAACTGAATTTGACTCATATTATGAGTAGGCATCATGATAGACTTATAATAATGATGATGGAAACAAATCTGTTCATAACAATAATATGGTTGATCTGTTTGCTTTGAATGTATTTGAATGCAAAATAAATCTAATTCTCTGCTGATTAGAATTAGATTTTAATTGGCTTAATTACTTGTATTAATTAGAGGATGGATTTTTATGTTAATTTTAAAGGAGCTGATTGGTGAGGAGTGTTCATCTAAATTTGTTCTAGAAACATTGAGATTTCAAATTAACCAAAAAGTCACAGTGACTTATGCTTATTCCTCAGTACAATAAATAGAACAATTATATAATTTTTCTTTTAGCTTTTAAGTGTTTAAGCAGTGCTAAAGATGCTTGACTTTCTGAGATTGTCATTAATAAATAATACTTTCAGACTATTTTCCTAATCTACTTATATTTTGGCCAGTGTAATCCCTGGCTCTTTTTTTCAAGTGTATACCACTTCTCTTATCTTTCATGGTATTTAGAACATATATCTGTCCTGGGTATGATAAACTACATCCGTGTCCTGGGTAAGACGACAAACTACATCCTACAGCATGGCCTCTGATCAGGAGGTTTTGAGGAACATGGAACCACCACATTGCTGATGTTACCAGGTCTACCTTGACTCAGGGTGGTAACACCTGTTAGGGTCCCAGCTATGGGCAAATAGTTAACCTGCAAACTGGGGTCAAAACACTATGAAAGTGTAAAAATAGGTTTTAGTACCAGCAATGAATTTTTGAAGGAAAAAAATATTACCAGCAATGAATTTTTGAAGGAAAAAAAATATTACCAGCAATAAAAATTTTGTTGGCATTAAATAACCCATTGAGGTTGATATGCCACAAAACAAACAAAAAATAGAACATATATTGCTGAAGAAATATATTGATGGACAAAATAGAGGACTATTTTTAGTTTTTAATTTTTTTTTTTTTAATCAATTTACCCCAAGCAAGGCAATAAAGATGCAAGGAGCTGTTGGGAGTGAAAGTGAATGAAAAGACTTTAGAAGGAATCAGAAACCCAATCCTAAACAGGAAACAAGGGATAAACCTCTACTCTTGTTCAAAAGACCAGGGAGGTGTGCGAACTGGATGATAGGTCAACCTACTTTCAATTATGTTTTGAAACATCTTGTTCAAAATTCTGTGAAAGTTTATACTTGAAGAAAGCTAGAAAACTTATTCTGTAAAATGCAATTAAAAACAAGATGAAAATGATAATTTAAAAGAATTGCTGCATAATTTAAACTAATGAATGATAGGGATTTCAACTAATGTGAAAAATGTATAGAAAGTTCACTGATTTCTGAGTCTTCCACCCATGGTAAATTTGCAACCAATTTTTAAAAATATTTCACCTTTTTCTAACAAATCTTCTGTTGTTGCAGTGAGGGATATTTAAAAACAAATGTTAGAGAACTGAACAAAATTGGCTGAGCTACTCTGTCCAGACATGTTGGATGTCAGAAATTTAAAAATTTAATTCTTGTGATGAGTTTGCATTATTTACACTATTTACATATGGACTATTATCCTCATCTTTGTTTTTCTTATAACATTTCAACTATTGTGTGAGCCAGCCTTCATCAGGTGTATGTTGATCTGAACAGTACTAAAAATAAGAACTAGACAAGATAACTTTAGACATGGGCAGTGAAACAAGAACAATCTACCCCTGTAGATTAAATAAAGGATTCAGTTTGGAATTCCCTGTAGGTTAGTAGCATCAATATACATCTGATGAAGGCTGGAGGTTATAATGGACGAAACGTTGTGATAATAGCAACGAAGATGAGGACAATAGTTCTCATGTAAATAGTTTAAAATTTATTATTTAGGGCCCTATATCTTCATTGTTTCCTCTGACATTTCCATTTATATTCCCCCTCTTCTCACTACATACATACATATATATATATATATATATATATATATATATATATATATAATTGACTCTTCCGTAGGTTTCGATGTATGAGGATCTGACAGCTTAGTTGATTCAGTTATGAAATTTTTTGCGATAATCTTATGTGGCATTCAAGACCCGCTAGTGATTTACAAAGGAGGCCACATATGGAGCAATTGTGACGATTGTGAGATGAGTTGAAATTTATCCACTAGTATATAATGTTAATTCACCTAATTCTGTCTTTTATTCTTTTTGATCAGGAAGAATTAATACATGTAAAAATATGCAATATCTGAAATTCTTCAGATTAGTACATTTTTTTGCAATTGTTGCTGTTTGTATAATTTTCTGCTGTCAAACAAACATTTAAAAATAAATGCAATCATTTTGACCTTTAAACCTTTCATAAATGACAACATGATTGTTTTTCATTTGATGAACAATGCAAATTATCCAAGTGGCTTTGAGAATACTATCTTTATTTTTTAGATGAAATTTTGGTGTTGTAGCATACCTATGGAAGATAATGGTTATGTTCCCATTCACATAAATACAGTAGTTAATATTGTATGTTGTTCTGCAGTTGGAGATTCATTATGGAATTTACTTGACTCACTTCTAGCAGTTGATTACTTCTTCTACATGCCACTGGTGAATCTTATATGTGTTGTTCTTGTCCTAAGTATTATCATTCATTACCAACCTTCATTTGATTATTCTATTCAGTAACCTTCCTTAGGTTATAACACTTGGATAAATGACTATGCTTGTTTATGTAAGGGTGGAAAATAATGAATTACTCAAGGCAGTATAAACACTTATGAACTATGTTATAGCTGAAAAGGCAACTCAGCCCAAATATGGTAGCAATTCTTTATTTTTTGGTTTGATTTGACTTTTTGATAGGGCATGATATATTACTGGAATACTGTCAGATAATTCCTCTTTATGACCACCTTCAGGATGGTAGACATTTCTTATCAGTATTCAATTTCTCTTCAATATGTGACAAGTTGTACTGGGTTAAGTGGTACCAGCAGCAAGGAACAATTTCTGACTTGCTCTATTATAAAACAAAACAAAACTCAAATGGGTTGCCTGACAAAACAAGATGGCTTCTCACTTTGTCTTAAAAACATTGTGTTTAGAGAATAACAAGAGAAAAATTAGGCTACTTTCTTTTATGTACATTCAGGTTGTAATCGATTATGGCTCTCCACAGCTTCCTGCTCTTTGTAACTCTAACCTTTATCCTCCTTACCATCATCCCCAGTCCCTGCTATGCTATCCATTTATATAAACTAATTAGCTAGGTTGCTGTTTTCCTCTGCTCCTCTTCAGTATATCTTGTAAGCATTGAATTCTCCAAGCCCTTCTTCCTCATTATGTATCCCAGATATTTCAACTGACTTTTTCTGATTCTAAGTATAAGTGTTCTTTTCAATCCCAATTTCCTTAAAAATTCCTTGTTGTTCACTTGTTCTGTCTATTGTATTCTTACCATTTTCTGTCACTTCAAGTCTCATTTTTGTCCGTGAGGAAATTGTCTATCATTTGCTATCATATAGGAGGACTAATATTACATAGTAGTTCAGCACCATTTTATTTATTTTTTTTAATCAATTCATCCAAGAAAGGCAATAATGCCACTAAGATGCAAGGAGTTAGTGAATGTTGGAGAATGAGAAAAATATACTATTAAGGAGAACGGACAACAAAAGAACAAGAATTATGACAGAAGGTAACAATTGACATTGCATTTAAATTTTTGAAGATCAAAATTGACTGGGAAGCAAGAAGCCGGAAGAAAGTTCTACAAGTAAGAAGTGCAAGAAAAGAAACTGTTAGCATAGAACTTATGGTTACATCTAGCCATTTCAGCTGTAAAATGATGACCTAACTACCAACATGGTATTGTGGTTAAATCCATAAAGTCTAGGTATCATAGAGGAAAGCTCATCAGAATAATTACCATGAAGGTATTTATAGAAAAGGCACAGGGAAGCTACATTACAATGGTGGGGAAGTGACTGAAGTCAACATGTCAGGTCAGGACCAATAACAGTGATGGGGAAATATATAGGGTAATATTAGGTTTTGGTTCATTAATCTTCACCTGTACTATGGAATGCTTATAAACTTAAGCAGGCCGTCCTGGGTATGACGATAAACTGCATCCAACAGCAAGGCATCTGATCAGGAGGTTTTGAGGAGTGTGGAACCACCTCTTAATTGCTGGTGTTCCCAGGTCCACCCTGACCCAGGGTGCCAGAAAAGAAAAAAACTCTTGCCAGCAATATGTTTTTAAAGAAAAAAAACTCTTGCCAGCAATATGTTTTTAAAGAAAAAAAACTCTTGCCAGCAATATGTTTTTAAAGAAAAAAAACTCTTGCCAGCAATATGTTTTTAAAGAAAAAAAACTCTTGCCAGCAATATGTTTTTGTTTATGTTTTAAAAAAAAAAAAACTCTTGCCAGCAATATGTTTTTAAAGAAAAAAACTCTTGCCAGCAATATGTTTTAAGAAAAAACTCTTGCCAGCAATATGTTTTTAAAGAAAAAACTCTTCAATATGTTTTTTACCAGCAATATGTTTTTAAAAAAAAACTCTTGCCAACAATATGTTTTTAAAGAAAAAAACTCTTGCCAGCAATATGTTTTTAAGAAAAAAAACTCTTGCCAGCAATATGTTTTTAAAAAAAAAACTCTTGCCAGCAATATGTTTTTTAAAGAAAAAACTCTTGCCAGCAATATGTTTTTAAAAAAAAACTCTTGCCAACAATATGCAATATTTTTAAAGAAAAAAACTCTTGCCAGCAATATGTTTTTAAAGAAAAAAACTCTTGCCAGCAATATGTTTTAAAGAAAAAAAAAACTCTTGCCAGCAATATGTTTTTAAAGAAAAAAACTTAACAATATGTTTTAAAGAAAAAAACTCTTGCCAGCAATATGTTTTAAAGAAAAAAACATTAACAGAAATAGATTTTTGACAAAACAAATATATTACCAGGAAAAAGAAAAAGTTGTCAACATTAAATGACCCATTGAGGTTGATATGCCGTAAAACAAACCAAACTTAAGCAGGCTTTCATTACATATGGGAGTGAGAGAGAAGAAACTGTTAGCATAGAACTTGGTTACATCTAGCCCTTTCAACTGTAAAATGATGAGACCTTGCCGCCAATCTAGTATTGCACTTAAATTCATAAAGTTTATGTGATTTTAATGCTCATCACATCAAGTGACTTAAGTATTCTCATGTTACTGATGTTCAGATTTTCCATCTGTTACACAACCTCTATTGTTTTTAAAAGAAATTTTCCTATACTTACTTTAACGTCAAGAATGGCAACTGTCATCATTCCAATGCACCTATGAATGTCTGCATTCACTTTTCCTGTCATCTGTCACAACATTGCCCAGTCAATTAAACTTCTTTACCTCCTTGATTCTGATGATTTTAATTTGACACTCACACCTTCGGTCATCAGCAAGAGGAACAGTCATACATTCTATTTTGACAGTTTATGATTAAACCATTTCTTCCTGCTTTGCTACTTTTTCTATGCATTCTTGCAGTTTTCCTTTCTATATCTGTGTGTTCATCTTGTCTGGTTTTCACATATCCACACATAGAGAGCACCTCTGTCAACTGAGAAAAACACTGGTTTTATACAGCTCTTCCAGTCCTAGACCCACACTGACTATTGGCTAATATCTACCCAGTATTGTTCCTATGCAGATAATCAGTGCCACCTACTGTAAGTAGAAGGTTTTCTCTCAACAGCCCGTTGTGGAAAGGGACACAACTCCTTGTGCTTACAGCACCCATACAACCAACTTGGAGTCTTTTATCGGGCTGACCCAATTCTCTGTTACGGTCTGTCATTAAGATTGTGTCTGCCAGTAATAAATCTCGGTAGGTCTGCTAGTTCTCTTAGTCACCTAACCGTATAGCTTAAGTAAAACTGTTCATGGTTCATACTTGCTGACTATTTCACTCTCATATCTTTCTTACTTTAGCATTTGCGTTTCCTATGATGGTGATAATTTCCTGTGATTTGCATTATCTCTTAGTGTTATTTAGTGTACTATAAAACTTAACCTATTTTTTCTTCAAAGCTTTGCAATGGTAATGCATAATTGAATGACTTTCTGGTCACTTTAACTAAAATTCTATACATTTGACAGTCGCATAAACATTTGTGTTGATCTAATATTAGTCCTATTCCTCATTTTTCTCTCTGCCTGTCTATATGATTCTGTGTCTTATGAAGTCCACATTATTTATCCACCTTTTTTCACATGCACTTAAAATGTTTATATTTAGCCTTTTCATTTCTCATTTGACATTCGAATTATTGTCATCTTTGTTGTTATGACAATGTTTTGGTTGCTGTGCCCACCAGACTTCTTCAAGTATCTGTTGACCTGTGTAACCTTCACGGAATTTTGAATTGAACACTTTATTTAATCTATGAGGCTATATTGTTTTCATTTTGCTGTTCATGTCTAGGGATACCTTGTCATGTTCCTTCTAGGACTGCTTGGTTATTCCTTGCTTTGTTTCTACTGCATTTGTCTGTACTACCTGGCAAACTTAAACAAATACTATTCTGCCAAATTCATAAACCAACTCTTTAAATCGCTAGGCTATAGCAACAAAGTGATGATAACTAAAGGACATTATAATAATAATGATGATGATGATAACTAAAGGACATTATAATGATGATGATGATAACTAAAGGACATTATTATAATGATGATGATGATAACTAAAGGACATTATAATGATGATGATGATAACTAAAGGACATTATAATGATGATGATGATAACTAAAGGACATTATAATGATGATGACTAAAGGACATGATGATGATGACTAAAGGACATAAGTATGAATGTAAATAATGATAACTCCTCATCCAAGAAATTCAAGCAGAAACATTGTTTTCTAGTTTATTTTGCTTATGGCCACATCATATTTCTGTACGATCACCAAAGTTAAGCAACATTGAGTCTGGTCAGTACCTAGATGGGTGACCACTTGGGAATACCAAGTGTTGTAAGCTTGGGTACATGGGTACTGTAATGGATAATAGCTCAGTATCGTTAATCAGAGAGCTGAGCTCCAATTCCAGTTGGGTTCATTATATTCACTTACACACAAATACCCTTGGGAAAGATTTCTACCTCTTCTCCCCACAGCTATGGCTTAATTAGTAAAAACTTGTATCACTAAACCATTATGATCTCAAAAAAAAATTCTTTCTGGCATTAAATAACTTGCAAAATGTTGATAAGCCACAGAAAACAATCAATCAACTATTTCTTGTTTGATGTGTTGCATCTTCCTACACTGATACAATGTCCTTTACAGTCTGTGTCCCAATTAAAGGTTTGTCTTTGTTGCACACTATTTTTAAAACCTGTTATACTTACAAGATTTTTACCTGTCAGGTATCTGCATGTTGTAGAAGATAAATCATATTATTTAAGAAAAAAAGTTTATAGCAACTCTGATAGAATTCAAATATGATAGTTTTTGTTTTATAAATTCATAGCTCAGATTATGTTACTTTTGTCCCAAAACTTGGCCAATGTAAAGCTTATTCACAAAGTTTAGTTAAAATTAATTGTAACATTTAGAGACGAAACCTTATCCTTATATTTACTCTTTGAAATGGTTGGATTGATTCATAAAGATTTTTTTTTTTTTTTTTTTTTTTTTTTTTTTTTTTTTCAATCAAGAAATTTTTAATTTCTAATATAAATATACTTTGGGTAGAGTTTGATTTTTTTTTTTTTCTCAAGAGTAATAATAGAGCAACAAAACAGAATAGTTACATTTCACAAAAACTCTTATAAAAATCTCCTTTCTAAATAATAAGCTGACAGTTGGTGATCCTGAAGTATGGAAGGTCAAAAGAACTACTATTTATTTTAATTACTATTTATTATCCAATCTCTTTACACTTCATGGCAATTTTTTTTTTTTTTTATGTTGATTAGGATATGTGATAAAATTGGATCTTGATCAATAAACTGAGTGACAGCACTTCACCGGACAATAGAAAAATAATCACCGAGGAGAAATTTCAGTAAACTTAAATAATGCCTAAAGGTTAAATAAATCCACTTTGGCAGCAAGGGAGACAAGCCTGCCATTGCTTAGAACACATCCATTAAGCAGAGGAGTGGATGCCTAATATCTTCAGAAATTTTTTCACCAAGGATGGTGAGTTCAATCCTTGGTAGGACCACAAGAATCAGTATTATTAACATGTGTATCCTTTTCTTTTAATTCTTGTATACTTAAGAGCTGCATAGTGAAAAAAATTTTTTTTTTGCTTTAAAAAAAATTTGTTTAAAACTTGTAAGAAGGTTTATATAGTAATTTGTAATTTCTAAAGAAAGTAATGGATTTTTTTATTAATCTGACAGATTTTATCACTTTAAACGTTATTTTTAGTAAATACTCATATTTGAGTAGATGTTACGTTTATTTATTAAACAGTATATTTATTTTCAGCTGCTGGTTTGAATATTTGAGAAATCTTCAGAGAACATGTGTCTTTCTTTAATAAGATTTCTCAAATATTCAGACAAAAATAAATATTTCTTATGTGCCATATTCCCTCAGGGCAGAGGTGATCATGGCTTTCCACAATTTCTTGTCCCTTGCAGCTTTAAATTCATTTATTTTTTGTTATTTCTAAACTCTGTCCTGCAATCCATTTTCTCGATCTTGTCAAATATGTTTTGCATAGTTTTCCTCTGTCCCTCAATCCATCCCGTGAGTAAAAGATTTTCCAAGTTCTTCTTCCTCATTATGTGTCCTGAAATTTCAACTCTCTTCCTGATGTTAAGTATGTTTCTTTTTTGTTTCCATTTTCTCTAAAACCTTGTTGTTGCTCACATGTTCAGTCTATGGTATCCTCAACATCTTTCTGTAGAACCACATTTCTGTTGCTTCAAGTCTCTTCATCTTTGAGGAAATTGTTCAGCATTCAAAGCCATACAGTAGGATAGACATCACACAACAGTTCACTATTTTTTTTATTTTTTTTTTTTCCAATTAAATTTTCTTGTCTCTTAATACTCTGCTTAGTTTTTGGAATGCATCTTTGGATTTGTGTTACACTTCTTCCAAGATATTTAAATTTTTGTGCTTGTTTGATTTTGGTATCCACGATTTATAATTTGCATTTTGGGCTCACCCTTTTGCTAATAACTATGCATTCTGTCTTCTTGTAGTTTATATTTAGTTCTTTCATTTTGCTTTCTTTTACTACCTTCTGCAGGAGATTTTGAAGTTTTCTTTCCTTGTTTGCTATCAACACTGTGTCATTTGCATATGTTAAGATTGTAGCTGTTAATACTGAATCCTGTTAGGATTTCTAATTCTCTCAGAATGGACTCACTGTATAGGTTGGAAAATCTGGCGAGAAGACCCATTCTTGTCTTACATCTCTTTATTTTTGTATATCTGCTGAACTCATTTTCTATCCATATGCAGGCAGTTTGCTGCCAGTATAGGTTCTTGATTATTCTAATGTACTATTTAATAAATACACTTGGAGTCTACTCAAATATGGGTATCCACTAAAAATAATGTTTGACATAAGATAGTAATTTGTAAGAATCCTGTTTATGTTGTTTTTTTTTTTTTTTGTTTTTTTTTTTTTGCCTTTTCATGTGCTGAACCTGATTTTGTTTTTTTATTTTAGTTTTAGATGTGGATCCTTATGATGAAAAAATATTAGGACGCAGAATTAAAGTATTGTGTCGCTTGGGCAAGTTTGATACTGCTCTGTCCTTTGCCATACAGTGGGCCAAACGAAATCCTGATGTAAGTATAAAGGAACTTTTATTTTATGCCACTTTTTGAGTTACTTTCTTTTCTTGTAAAAACTCAGACATTTGGATAAAAATCTTAGAAACAAAATTAATTTTGAATGCAAAATTCTGTCATCTCTCTTGCTATAAATAAATTTTTCTAAAGATTCCTCAGAATGACAACATCCTGGGTAAGTTGATAAACTACATCCGACAACAAGGCCTTGAGGAGCATGGAACCACCTCTTAATTGCTGATGTTCCCAGGTCCACCCTGACCTGGGGTGGTAGCGCCTGTCAAGGTCCCAGCTATGGGTAAATACTTAACCCTGCAAAAGAGATCAAAACACTATTAAAGTATAAAAATATGTTTTAATACCAGCAATACTTCTTTGGAAAATTTTTTACCAGGAGTACACTTTTGAAAGAGAAAAATATTACCAGCAATATATTTGTGAAAAAAAAAAAATTGCCAGCAATACATTTTTTGGAGAAAAGAAAAAAATATTGCCAGCAATACATTTTTTGGAGTAAAGAAAAAAATATTGCCAGCAATACATTTTTTGGAGAAAAGAAAAAAATATTGCCAGCAATACATTTTTGGAGAAAAGAAAAAAATATTGCCAGCAATACATTTTTTGGAGAAAAGAAAAAAATATTGCCAGCAATACATTTTTTGGAGAAAAGAAAAAAATATTGCCAGCAATACATTTTTTGGAGAAAAGAAAAAAATATTGCCAGCAATACATTTTTTGGAGAAAAGAAAAAAATATTGCCAGCAATACATTTTTTGGAGAAAAGAAAAAATATTGCCAGCAATACATTTTTTTTTGGAGAAAAAAAAAAATATTGCCAACAATACATTTTGGAGAAAAGAAAAAAATATTGCCAGCAATACATTTTTTGGAGAAAAGAAAAAAATATTGCCAGCAATACATTTTTTGGAGAAAAGAAAAAAATATTGCCAGCAATACATTTTTTGGAGAAAAGAAAAAAATATTGCCAGCAATACATTTTTGGAAAAAAAAAAATATTGCCAGCAATACATTTTTGGAGAAAAAAAAAAATATTGCCAGCAATACATTTTTGGAGAAAAAAAAAAATATTGCCAGCAATACATTTTTTGGAGAAAAGAAAAAAATATTGCCAGCAATACATTTTTTGGAGAAAAGAAAAAAATATTGCCAGCAATACATTTTTTGGAGAAAAGAAAAAAATATTGCCAGCAATAAAACTTTTGTTGGCATTAAGAACCCATTGTGGTGTTGATATGTCGTAAAATAAAACAAACCAATCAGAACAACATAATTAGACAACAATTAAATTGCCTTTTTTACTTGTTAATGTTATCAGATGCCTCAATGTGTACTTTTAAATAGAAATCTTAATTCAACCCTATTATTGATTTAGTCCGGTACAACAGCAGATTAAATAAAAGTAAGATTTTATGTCAGTGGAGAGGGTTTGCCTTGAAACTCAGCATTTGAATTTCGACTTTTACTTGGCACCATTGAAGAAATACACAACTATCTCAATCACAAAGCAGATTATAATTCATTTTTTTATTTATTTTATCTATAAGTTATGGCACTTTTATTGGATCGAGTACAGTGTTAGTCAGTCAGCATAGAAGCTATTGAGCAAACTTGCGCATTTGTGATTATTATTATTATTATTTTTTTTTTAAAGAGATGCAACCAAATCAGTTTGAAATCCATTCCCCATGACCAAGTTTAGATTTGATTCCCTGTGATTTCTACCTTTTTCCAAAGCTATATTACCATTGGAATGGAGAATTTGGATAAGATTAAGGACAATGCAACAAGATGGTGCTTCTGAAATAGGACTTAGTAGACTATTTTGAAAAGTGGATTGGTCACAAAGGGATTATTTTAATGGGTCTCTAAGGTATCATTGCTCTAGGTATATAACCCTAAGCGTAGGAAAATCCCAACCACAGCAACTAAATGTAACGTCTCTTGTGGGGAAACTCAGGAGCCTTGAGCATGCTAAAAAAATTTTTAAAAATGTAACACTAAAAGTAAGAGACATGCTTGTTTTCTAGTCACTGACTATACAGCATCCTGAATTGGTGATTCCTCTAAATATTTGTTTAAAAGATTTGAAGAAGTCCCAAACTATGGGTTGAAACTTTGCAAAGCCCAAACCAGCTATGTATCACAGAACTGAAGTTGGATTTCTGAGATTGAATTCTCACAATCTACATGCTAAAAGAAGAGCTGATTCTATATCACTCTCATACTGTGTAGAACTTTGCATGAACGTATGTAATATATATGCATATGTCTGTTGTTTGAGTGACTTAAATGTTGTTGTGCCATTTAATGAATGTACACACAAACACACACATACAATTTGACTAAATTTGAAATAAAACATTAGATTAATACCTTTCGCTTTCACTCAGTCTGGACAATCCCTACAATGGGCTGAACAATACAATCAATAATGTTGAATACCATAAGGTGGGGAAAATGTTAATTTTTAAAACCTTAAAAAGTCAAATAATTATAAGATTTTATTGAATTTTTTTTAGAATTATTTTGTAGTTAATAGATTTAGTTTTTAAAGGTTTTTTTTTTTTTTTTTTAATAAAAATATATTTTAAGTCTGTCATTGAATTAAAATATACATGTGCACATGCAAATGTACGTACATACACAATTTGATTTAATCTGAAATGGACATCTGTGTTGTTAGGGCTAATTTTGTTTTCTGTTTCACAACAACCCCTGGATAACAGGAAAAGATTATAAGCTGAAATATGCAGTTTTTGAAGTCATTTTGTGATTCCTTTTATATTTAAACTGAATCTATTTTCTAATAAATGTATTTTAAATTGATAAACAATTTAGATTTGAACTCTGATCAGTTTTCCATTAGCAAAAAGACAGGTGCTGAACTCGTAGTGACTAAGAAAATCAAAATACCTTTAACAAGATTTGGTTTAGTGTATTCTTGGTGTTGAGTAACACTTGCTATCCTTTTAAGGTTTTCACAGCTATTATACAGAATATGAAAAGTATTTCTGCCACACCATGTATTTCTCAATTTCAAGTTGCTCAATTACAACTGTGATGATCATTCAAATCCTTCTCACTCTTATTGATTGACCACGTCTTCAGGGATGTAGCTGTACTCATCACACTTGACCAATTGTGGACTGGTGAGTCTATTTAATCCATAGTTGGAGGTTTTGAATACAGCATTGTCCTTCTCCTAAACCGGTTTCTACCCAAGACAAGGACCCAGTCTGTTCTTCTATTTACCCATAGCTGAGGAGGCAATGAGATGGATTCATGCCTTTCCCAAGGGTATTTGTGTCTAAGTGATTGTAACAAACTCAACTGGAATTCAAAATAAGAGTTTGTCACTCTAAGCCCTGATCCATTATTTCCCAGTGCTTCTGTGATGATTATAGAATGTCTTTATTCACTAACTTGATTTTACATAAAAGGAATTGTGCTACTACTATCTACATTTGTCTAGTCATTCATCTGAGAGTGTGACTTAGGTTTATTACTGCAGTCAGTGTGCTTGTATCTCTTATTTGCTCATATTTGCTGCTGGTGATTGCTTTCTCAAGTGCCCATGTGCATTTGTTTATATAGGAACTCAGCCAGCTGGTTGTCACAAGTCATGTATTGGCAAGATTTAACCATGAATTTAATCTCTCCTAAGGTTTTCTTTATTCCACAACAGGATTTGACCAGTTCTTTCACTTGACCCAATTTCTGATAACTGACTCTCTGAAACTATTCTTTCAAAGGGACCTTCAAAGGGATGATGAACCTAGCCAGGGAATGTTTCTTTATATAAACAAAGAGCACATGCCTATTCAGCCAATTGACACAGTTCTTTGAACCCAACTGACACAATTCTTTGAACCCATTCTGCCTATGAAACTACTCTAATCTGATTACTAGGTCTTTATGTAAACAACTTGGTCTCTTGGGGACAGTCGGGATGGGTGGGGTAGATAATTCTTGATATTGGTTGCTAAAGAAGTAATTTATTACTAGCCATTTTCACCTGAGTTGGTGAATACAAGTATAGTTGAGTATAGAGCTACACACAGTAATACAAAATTATCTCTAATCTAATATTTACATTTGATTCCTTAAGAATCTTTGGATTTTTTTTTAATTCCTCCTCTTTCCACATTGAATTCCAATAATCATTAAATAAAAAACAAGCCTTCTCTTACATTTTTTTCCTTGGTTTTCTGTGCCATAAAACCAGGCTTTTTCTACATTTAAGTTAACACTGTAAATTTTTGTCAAGCCCCCTTGGGGCATAACTTGCTTCATATAAGTTAGTCACCACACATCTCATCAAAAAAGGTTTGTTTTTTTTGGGATTTTTTTTTCTAAAGAGATAAATTGATTTCCACTTTTAGGCCGGTAAATGTTGTTTAATACTGTTTATTATAAACAGAGCATTTACTTAAATATTTGTATCTATAAAAAGAATGTATAAACATATATATAACAATGAATCATTCATACAAAGAGTGGTTTAGTAAAATTAATGATATAAAATTTTGAAAGTATGAAAGTACTTGCATATTAAAGAAAAGACCTTATATATATATATATATATATATATATATATATATATATATATATATATATATATATATATGTGTGTGTGTGTATAATTCTATCAATAAGTAAATTATTTTAATCAGATAGAAGTCTTTTTTTCTTTTTTCTTTTTCTTTTTTTTTTTTTTCATTTCACCCCAAGCAAGGCAATAAAGCAATTAAGAAGCAATTAGAAAAAAAGAAAGATTAAGGACAGGGAACAATAAAAAGACTGGAATTAAGGAATCAGAAGATGAAAATTGACATTGCATTTATATTTTTGAAGATCTTGGTAGTTAATTGAAAAGCAAGAAGCCAGAAGAGGGTTCTACATGCGAGGACCAAGAAAGAAGAAATGATGAGACCTTTCTGCCAATCTAGTACTGCACTTATATTCACAAAGTCTAGATACCAAAGAGTAAATCTCATCAAAACCATGAAAATATTTATAGAAAAGGGAAGCTACATCACAGTGATGGGAAAGTGACTGAAGCTGAGATGCCAGGTCAGGACTGATGATAATACAGATTCTTCTTTGGATTTTATCAAGAACCTCTAAATACATAGCAGAGGCACCAGACCAGATGCAGCAGCAATATTAATGTATGGATGAATGGTAGACTTATAAATGTGTAAAATAGATTCGGATAAGAAAAATTGTCTCGCTCAACACAGTGAAGCAACTTTCCTGGAAACAAATGTAGCAACTGATTCAATATCATCATTCCACTTTATGTCAATGGAAAATGTTTGCCCAGGAAGGTGCAATAAGTTAGTCTCCTAGAGGTTAGCACCAACCATGCTGATGGAAAACAAAATAGTTTCTCTAAACAGTTAAAAGAGCAGTTTTGTTTTGAAGGTGTTATCAAGCAATTTCTTGTCCCAGTTAATAGGTTGAAGGTCATTTTTGTGATCAACTGCCAATTTGACCTTATCGAACCGATCACTTACCATTGAAATGAGAGTAAAGGAATAATGTCATCAGCATAGATAGCGAGTCGAGAACTGATGACATTGGGAACAACGTTGTTGAAAATTCAGAAAAAAGTAGATCCAATGATTGACCTTGTGTGTGTGTACTGTATATACTCGTGTATCACATGACCTTTGAAGACCTAATTTTGAAGCTAATTTGACCACAGTAAATGGATATATAGTGTGCGATGAGTAAATTGTCGCCGTTTTATATTTTCAATTTTGTGAATGCACATTGTTTTTTTTATTTTGTCAACTGCACAATATAATAGGGTCAGTTGGGCACCATCTGTGAGAAAAAGAGCACCATGACAAATTTTGCTCTGCCAGAAATTTGGAAACTGCATGCTGTACTGCTTGGCTTTTGTGCTCCAATTCTAACATTACAGTGTTTGGGTATCAATCTGAGGAAAATGCAGAGGATTCAGAAAGAGTTGGATGATTCTAATTGTGATTATGAAGGCGCAGCAGCTCAGAAAACTTGCTCTGATCGTTCTGATAAGAAAAGAACTCACAAATTCATTGGTGAGAGCCTCAGACTCAACATGGAGGCCTACATAATGTACCTTGACAAGGTCAAAAGGGTGACTGCTGGAAAACCCTGTCTGGCAACAGGACTCTGCACCATGCCAAGCAAGCATGAGAACCCAGTCATGGCTGTCAGACAGTTTCTGCAACCACATCACCCTTTACATTAGGCCACTTAACTCCCCAAACTGCAACCCCTTGATTATGTGTGGAGTGCAGTTGAATGAGATACCAAGAGAACTCCCTGTAACACAAAAGATGAACAGAAGGCAAGGATTATAACAGCATTCACCAATTTAAGCAAGGAGACCATCCAGAAGAATTGCAGGAGATTCTGAAGTTGTCTGGAGGTCATGGTTAAAGCCAATGGTGATTTTTTTTTTGAATAAATTTACTCTTTAGTATTTCAAGATATTTTTGTAAATATATCTGTTAAAATGAGATGCTAGTGTTATTTTCATTGTTGCCTAATTTAGACAACAATTTATCCAGTGCACCCTAGTTTTAAGGTATGCTATATTTGTTTAAAATATATTTTTACAGTATTCTATCTATCTCCCAAATAAGTTTTAAATTCTACTGACAAAGCTTGTTTGTTTAATTTTTTTTTTTATTGTATGTTTCTAATTTTTGAAGATTTATGTCAGGATAAAAATTATAGACAAACTGTCCAAAGTTAATGTTTTTTTTTCTGCTTTGTTGAAGTACTTTCCACCATCATTATCAAGAACTGGGTGTTGACAATTTGATAAATAAAAAGTATACAAGAATGTAGCAAAGAAAATTTTGGACATGGTTTAGAAAAAAATCTAAAATTATACTATAAATAAAAAACTGCTTAACAAATCAAATATTGTTAAAAAATGAAAATACTTGTTTAAACTTTATTACTTTATTATTTTTTTTTTTTTTTTTTTTTTTTTAAAGAATTATTTTGCATTATAATCATTTTAATTAATATTTTCACTTTTTCTTATTTTAGAGCGTTAAAGCTCAAACCAAAGTCAAAAGAATTAGGAATGTAATAGCCACATCACAGGAACAGGTAAGATAAATTTAAAGTTTTTTAGTTAGTTTGTTTTTTTGTTAGTTTGTTTTTTTTGTTTGTTAGTTTTTTTTGTTTGTCTTTTTGTTTTTTGTTCGTCTTTTTGTTTGTCTTTTTGTTTTTGTTTCATAAGAATTTCTGTTTTCGTTATTTGCATATTTACTATTTTTCTTTTTATTTTATTTTGAAAGTTTTCGCTTATTAAAGTAGAAAAAAAAATGTCCTGGGTAAAACGATGTACTACATCCGACAGCAAGGTCTCTGATCAAGAGATTTTGAGGAGTGTGGAACCACCTCTTAATTGTTGGTGTTCCCAGGTCCACCCTAACCCAGTGGGATGGATTCTGTCAGGGTCCCAGCTATGAACAAGTAGTTAACCTCCAGAATGGTGTCCAAACACTATGAAAGTGTAAAAATAGGTTTTAATAGCAGAAATACTTTTTGTAAAAAATTATTACCAGCAATACATTATTACCAGGAATATATTTTTGAAAAAAAAAAAACATTACTAGCAATAAAAATTTTGTCAGCATTAATACTCATTGATGTTGATATGCTGTAAAACAACCCCCCCCAAAAAGCAGCCATTACACATATGATACTATGATTGTGACAACATCACTCACTTTCCCCTTCTGTGAGGTTAAGTGTTTTATGACCAGTAATAAAGTCTGTGAAATGGGATCTTCAAAAACAGCCACTCACTTGGGCAAATGAAAATTAAATAATTGAAAAATTTTGGGGAAAGTGACAACATGCTGGATGTAGGAAATTTCTGGTCTTATGTAAACAGTCATAGTTGTGATTGGGAGTAATTCTGGGCTGCCTCTTAATGGGGAGGGTTCTGTCTTAATATATTATGTTTCATAAAGTGATTTTATCATGACTTTTATTTTTCCCTGTTTTCTTCCCTTTCAGGACATTGATGATGACGACGATGATGATGATGATGATGTTCTTTCAGACATCATGAACACTAATCTAGATTCCCATCCCAAACGGTTGTCTCCCGAGGGGGAAGAAAGAAAAGACCCTTTCCACAGTCCACTCTCTTCTACTCTATGTCTACCAACAGCAGCTGGCACCAGACAGTTAGCTGATTCTACAGACAATGTTTCTTCAAGTTCCCATTCTTCATATTGTACCTCAGAAGGTAAAGCATTTTGATCTTTGTTCCCTTAAATAAAAATGTTAATTCCAAAATAACAGTCAAAAATGCTTGTTACTTTCAAGATGTGATATGTTAAAAAAGATGTGACATGTCACACACACACACACACACACACACACACACACAAAAATAACAATGTGCACACCCACATGACGGTTACCCAACAAAATTTTTGTGATGTTATTGAACACTTGTTGCCACTTTTGTGATGCCAATGAATACTCGTTGTCTCTTTTGTAATGCTCATTGTAGTAGAGACTTTCTAATCACAGATACAACTTATAGTATGCTGTTGAACAATAATGGTGTCAGATGCCTTCAAATATCACTCCCACTAGCAGAACTTGCTCAATAATACTCACTTGAACAGTAATCTGTATAGTGATCCAAATAGGGAAATAGTATAGTGAATATAGTAGGGAAATAATATAGACTAGAAATGGTGATCCGTATAGTAATAGAGGATGAACTAGAAATGGTGATCCGTATAGTAATAGAGGATGGACTAGAAATGGTGATCCGTATAGTAATAGAGGATGGACTAGAAATGGTGATCCGTATAGTAATAGAGGATGGACTAGAAATGGTGATCCGTATAGTAATAGAGGATGGACTAGAGAATGGTGATCCTCTTGATGTCACATGACTTCCCATATATGAGTTTCCTCTATGGTCACATGGTCTACTTAATTCAGTAATGGAATCGCCTGTGTTTGCTCACTGGCGATCTATGTTCAAACTCGAGTGTCGGCAGCGACACTTTATTCCTATATAACAAAAATATAGAATTCAAATGTGATGCATGAACTGGGAATGAATGAATGAATGCTGCACTACTAAGTGTCACAAATTGATACTGTTCTTGACCAATCTGCCACCTGGTGTGGTTCTGGATTAACTGATTTTTTTGACTTATTTTATTTTTTGGCAAGCCATTTTAAAAAATAAAAAGGTGTGTATGCAGTTGTCTTCTGGTGTAAATTGCAGCTAAAACTGCTATGATTCTGCAGGAAGCTTTTCAAGAAAAAAAAATCTTTAGGCAAAGTACAAGTGTATGTATGCATGGTACTTGTATTACAAATCAAGGGCAAAGTCACTTGGAGACTCACAAAGATATAGTCAATTTTCAACAAGCCAAAATGCCAAAAATCTTGAATATTATCCACACAATAAATGAAGGTCATTATCACTTGATATGATATCTGAGGTGACCGATTTGTTTTGGAGTTAATACCAACTGAATATTAAGAGAAGATTTGAAAATGAAATGTGTTTCTGCAAAATATGTTGTTTGCTCACTGATGATCAGATTTTTTTTTTTTTTTTTTAATCATTTCACTCTAAGCAAGGCAATAAAGCCAATAAGACATGAGGAATTACTGAGTGTGAAAGAATCTGCAAAAAAAATATTTAAGGGGAGATGCCAACAAAAGAACAAGAATTAAGGGGGCAGAAGATGACGATTAATATTGTGTTTAAATTTTTTAACATCAATTTTGACTGGAAAGTAAGAAGCTGGAAAAGTTCCACAATTGAGAAGAAACTGTCAGTATAGAACTTATGGTTACATCTAGCTTAGAACTGCACTTAAATTCATAAAGTCTAGTTACCAATGAGGAAAACTCATCAAGACAATTACCATGAAAATATTTACAGAAAAAGCAGAGTATCTGTTATGGCAAGTGGGGGCGAAAGTAACTGATGCCAAGTCAAGACCAATACCATTGCAAATTTTTCTTCATATTTTACCAAGAATCTCTAAATCCATAGCAGAAGCACCAGACCAGATGTGCCAACAATATTAAATACATGAACAAATGGTAAACTTATAAAGGTGTGAGATAGATTCTAGTGAGAAAAATTCTCTAGCATGACACAGTGAACTGACTTTCTAGCAGCAGGCTTAGCAATTGATTTAATGTAATCATTCCACTTCATGTCCATAAGCATTAGCCTGAGAAGGAACAATGAGTCACTCTCCTGGAGGTTAGTATCAGCCATGATAATAGAAGGCAAAAAACATTCTCAAAGATGATTAAAAGACAGCAGTTTTGGAGGTGTTAAAATTAACATGCCATTTATTGCCCCAGTTAGCAAAACTTGAAAGTAATTTTTGAGAACAGCAAAGGTATGCTATATTTGAATGTATGTAAGGGGTCATTCTAAAGCCAATTTCATGCTTCCAAGCAAAATTTCTTCCGTCATAGACCTCTCAAAGTTTTTCTATATCTGCATGTATCCAAATATAAACAAAGAATTTTTTTTTTAGAATGGATTTTTAATAGTGTGACAGGTTTGTATCAATTTGTGCAGACATGAAAAAAATTTGATAGATCTTGATGGGTGAAATTTTGCTTGAAAGCATAAAATTGGCTTTGCCTGACTGTCTATTCCTTTATGGCCAAGAGGTAAGGTGCTCTGAGCTAAAGGTGGTTCCCTCTGTCCCAAGAGGTGCAGGTTCCATTCCTGCTGAAGCATGCAATTTTTTTTTTTAATAAGATTTCTCAGATATTCAGCCAATAAGTGAAAATAAATAAATATACTGTTTAATAAATAAATGGAGTGCCAACTCAAATATGAGAAGCCACTAAAAATAACATTTAATGTGATACTATATATATATATATATATATATATATATATATATATATATATATATATACACACACACACACACACACAGTGTATCACAAAAGTGAGTACACCCCTCACATTTCTTCAAATATTTAAGTATATCTCTTCATGGGACAACACTGACAAAATGACACTTTGACACAATGAAAAGTAGCCTGTCTGCAGCATATATAACAGAGTTAATTTATTTTTTCCCACAAAATAACTCAAAATATAGCCATTAAAAGCTAAATCCTGGCAACAAAAAGTGAGTACACCCCAAGAAACTACACCCTAAAAAAGTGAGTATACCCCTAAGAAACTACACCCCTAAATGTCTAAATTGAGTACTGCTAATGCTGAAACTGAGCTGCAGCACAGTGGCTAAGATCATCCAGCATTTTAAAAGAGCAGGGTCCACTCAGAAGAAATGTGAAGGGTGTACTCACTTTTGTGATACACTGTGTGTGTGTATATATATATATATATATATATATATATATATATATATATATATAACCTTGAAAATGACAGAATGCCCTCTTTTTAAAGGGACCTTTTCATCCAACAATTCTTCAGACAGATTCCTTGGAATTGCGAAATTGAAAAAGATAGACACTGGGTGTAAATAAGGAGCCATGACTCAAATTTATTGCTAAAAACAAAGAAATCTGTGTAAATATGCTCCTAGTAAGTATAAAACATAAAAAAAAATTACTCACAACACATTTATGAGACAGAGAAAAAGAAAAGTTCTCTTTCTGCCTACACAAATCTCAATGAAGCTTGATGCAAACATCTTCTAAAAACCTTAAATGTTTAACCATCCAAGCCCTGTCCTCCCACTAAATGCTCTATCAACATATGCAGAAGTGAAACTTATGTTGTTAATCAAATGAAAAAAAAAATTAGGGTGCGATAGGTAAATTGTCGCCAATTTTATATTTTTAATTTTGTATATTTGTGTTTGTTTTTTATTTTTGTTGACTGCACGGTATAGTGGTGTCAGTTTGGCACTATCTGTGAAAAAAAGAGCACCATAAAGCAGTTCACTCCACCAGAAATTTGGAAATGTCATACTTTGCTGCTTGGCATTCATACTGGAAGCTCTACTACAAACATTTCAGAGTGGGTGTCAATCTGAGGAAAGTACAGAGGATTTGGAAAAAGTTGGATGATTTTAATGGTGATTATGAAGCTATGGCAGCTTGGAAAACACACTGTGATTGTTCTGATATGAAAAGAACTCTCATATTTGTTGGAGATTCAGGCCATGATTGACAACGATGTAAGGGGTGGTATGGTTGCAGAAATTGTCTGACAGCCTTAACTGGGTTCAGAACAATCAGATTGAGTTTTGCTGTACCTTCATAATCACCATTAGACTCATCCAACTCTTTCTGATTCCTCTGCACTTTCCTCAGAGTGACATCTAAACACTCTGAAATGTTTGCATTGGAGCTCCTAGTGCAAATGCCAAGCAGTACAGCATGCAATTTCCAAATTTTTGGCAGAGTGAATTGTGTCATGGTGCACTTTCTCACAGATGGTACCCAACTGATCCTATTAATATACTGTATAGTTGACAAAATCTAAAACAAACAACATGCATGAGTTAAATAAAAAATATAAAATGGCGACAATTTATCCATCGCATCCTGTATGTATATGTGTGCATGAGAGAGCTGCAGATCAAATATGGATTAGAATCTGACAGGTTGATAGAATAAAGAAAAAATAGGAAACTTAGAGCAATCTAACATGTTTCACTTTTATTAAAGCTTCATCAGAGATTGAGAGAAAAACAGACAAAGAGACTCAGATATTTTCAATTATGTTTTTGGGTCAGTTCTCATTGGTCAGTAACATGTCATATTCATTAAAACCATAAATAATTCTATGTGTATGTAAATTTGTGAAGATTCTTGTATGTCTAAGTGGATGGTTATGTGTATTTATAATTGTCTGTCTAGTCGAAGTTCTGTCTTCACCTTTGTGTGGTCAGCCAGCGCAGCAGGGTGTCACATCATTCTAATTTATGGCTGATCTCTTTAAGCATGTATTCTTTGTATTAGATATAAGTTGGATTCTTTAAGAATAGATTCAAAGAAAGATGGCGGTGTAATGTTTTAGGCATGTGTTTATAGTTAGTAATAATGTTATTATTAAGTTTTCAGTGTATTTACTCCTGTTCTTTTTTAATTAGGGTGGGATTAGTGAAATCAAAGTTATCTTGATGCTAAACGGGGGAGTTAGATTGTTTGTCCAAACACATGTCTCTCTTGTGTTCATAGATGCAGGCTTTTAGATCAAGTAATGTCTCCCCCCCCCACATAAACATTTTTTTGCATTATAAAGAATTTATTTAATAAATCTCAGTATCCGAGTTAGTGTTGGTTTTATTTTTCTTCCTAATTATATCTCTGATTGTCTTGGATGTGGTGGTAACAATCCTAGTATTGGGGGTGACTAATTTATTTGCAAGTTTAGTAGAAAGTGTTGGAGGCAAGGATTATGAATTCTGTGTAATTTTTGTTAGGAGTGTTATTGGTGGTGTCTGATTTTTGGATTTGTGGATTTTGTAAGCTTGTTCTTTAGCATTGAGGATAAAATGATGTGGGTAGTTGAGAAGTTTGAAATTTCTCTTCTTCATTTAGGTATTCTGGGCCATATATCCTAAGGGCTCTGAGACCAATGAGAACTGACCCAAACAAAATTGAAAATACCTGAGTTTTTCTCTGTTTTCTCTTAATCTCTGACGAAGCTTTAATAAAAGTGAAACATGTTAGACTGATATACATTTCCTATTTTTTCTTTATTCTATCATTCACACACACACATATATATATATATATATATACTCTTAAGGTGTGCTATATTTATGGGATAAAGTGCTCAATATCAGAGATAGAGCATGTATGTAAATATAAACATAAAAGTGAACATTGAAGTCAACACTTAGAGGCAACAGGCTGTTTTATGCTAGATGTAATCATCAGGCCACGATTGCATCATTTTTATATATATATAAATAATTTCATATATATATATATATATATATATGTGTGTGTGTACAAATTCTTTTTTGCTGGATATCCTCTTTGAGATTGGGAAACTGATCTTCTCTGGTAATATTTTTGAGGTGATGTTGTTCTTTACAAAATCTGCCTCAGTTTTTCATCTGCAGGTTAGCCATTTCTGAGGTCATCTTAAGATTATGATCACCTAATAAAATATTTACTGGTTAATGCTGGCGAATCAAAGACCTTAAGAACTTGTTGTAAAAAGCAAACTTCAGAAGATAGAGGTTCACAAAATCTCCACTCACACAATTAGCCACACTGATGGCAAACACCACAGCTTATAAAGCACTTCCAATTATTAAAATTCTAAAAATAACATTTTAAAACAATAAAAATTAATTGCAGTAATAGCGGTGTCAAGTGAAAAACAGTCTTTTTGGAACGTCGGTTCTTGCAGGTGCAATTGTTAAACTTTTGCCGTGCTTTTTTTTTTTTTTTTTTTTTTTTTTTTTTTTTTAATGTTTTACTTTACTGCTGTCATAAATTCAGTGACAGTTTTAAAAATCTTTTTTTCTTTTTTTTTCCCTTTTTTTTTTTAATAAAGATTCCTCTCAGTCTTCAAGGGATACCATGGAAGAACCACTTTACCAGTGTCAAGTGTGTGACATTGAATTTAGAAAGCTGTCTGAGTTTGAACACCATTGTCAATGTGATGTGCATAAGAAACGTATCAGTTCTACAGAAGGTGCTAATTGGAATTGCAGCTTCTGTGATGTCACGTTCCGAAACCAAGCAGAATTAGAAAACCATTGTCGAGGGGACCTGCATAAGAAGTCAATTACCTCTGATGAGAGCCGTGAGTGGAAATTTCGGCCACCTCCGAGAAGTTTGCGTGCAGAAGAATTTTCTATGTGTGCTCGGTAAGCAATTGTTTAAACATGGATTCTCTAAGTGTTCATTTGTTAGAATTAACAAAAATTTACTTGAATTTTTTTTTTTTTTTTTTTTTTTTTTTAACAAGTATTATTTATTCAGTCACTTATTTTATTTTTTTTTTTTAAAAAGTTTATTTAGATTAATAGGGTGTTTTTCAATAATTTCTCAAGTGCTTTAACAGATCTCCATGGTCTTTTAGATCCATTGTTGCAGTGATTATTCCCTGCATAAAGCTTTGTCAAAGTCCATGTCTTTCATTTTGTGGTTCCTAACTATGGTGTCAATTATGGGACTCGAATTTGCTCCTGGCATTTTATGGTTTCTATCTATGGTGTCAATTATGGGACTCGAATTTGCTCCTGGCATTTTGTGGTTCTTAACTATGATGTCAATTATGGGACTCGAATTTGCTCCTGGCATTTTGTGGTTCCTATCTATGGTGTCAATTATGGGACTCGAATTTGCTCCTGGCATTTTATGGTTTCTATCTATGGTGTCAATTATGGGACCTCGAATTTGCTCCTGGCATTTTTGTGGTTCTTAACTATGATGTCAATTATGGGACTTGAATTTGCTCCCTGGCATTTTGTGGTTCCTATCTATGGTGTCAATTATGGGACCTGAATTTGCTCCTGGCATTTTATGGTTTCTATCTATGGTGTCAATTATGGGACTCGAATTTGCTCCTGGCATTTTGTGGTTCTTAACTATGATGTCAATTATGGGACTCGAATTTGCTCCTGGCATTTTGTGGTTCCTATCTATGGTGTCAATTATGGGACTGGGAATTTGCTCCTGGCATTTTGTGGTTCCTAACTATGGTGTCAATTATGGGACTCAAATTTGCTCCTGGCATTTTGTGGTTCCTATCTATGGTGTCAATTATGGGACTCGAATTTGCTCCTGGCATTTTGTGGTTCCTATCTATGGTGTCAATTATGGGACTTCGAATTTGCTCCTGGCATTAAAAAAGGAGACCATAATTGACATGATAGTTAGGAACCACAAAATGATGAACACAAACTTTGACAAAGGGAGTAATTACCATGACAATGGATTCAAAAGTCGAAAACTACTTTATCATGGAGATATGTTAAAGCACTTGAGATATTATCAAAAGACAATAAGATCATAATCACACTATCTGACAAAGGTGGGGCGATGTCATCCTTTTGGACACCAGCACTTATAACAAATTAATAGGGTATACATTTCCTAATTTAAATTTTGGGACATATTTAGTATATATGGTCATTCTCTTAGATGTGGCACAAGGCCAAAAATGTGGAGCACCCAGTGAGGATCAAACACACTACTCTGTTGTAATTGTCTAATGAGGCAAGCTTGCTAACTTTTGCACCATGTCAAAGTGCCCAATACCTAATATAGAGAGTATGCTTGGATTTTACTATTTGAGTTTTGTTGTTGTTCAAAAACTCTTGAGAAGTAACTTTCAAAGCAGGCATTGGAAAATAATTTTCTGTGACCTTGAGAAATTTCTCTAAAGAATAGTACTTTAGATAAAATCTATAATTCTTGTTGAATTTGCTTATTAAAAAAAAAAGATGTTAGTGGTCCAATTTCAGTGTTTCAAGTTAAATTTGAATTAACTGAAAATAATTTTCTGTTAAACAAACTAAAGGGAGGTAACTTTGTCTAACGCTATCATTGAACTTGTAGGTTTTTGGAGACAGGGAAATGTTCTTATAGCGAGAATTGTACTCAAGCTCATTCTCGAGAAGAATGGCAGGAGTGGAAAGACCGATTTGAATTCAAGAAACAGTCCCTGCAAAAAGCACGGGAAAAAAGGCTCCATGGAATGTCTTACACAGAAAAGTTGGCAGAAAAGCTTTTATTTGCTGAGAATCCAGATTCACTGGTAAGAATATTTTGCCTATTTTTTATTTATTTATTTAATAGAATTAAAAAAAAAAAAAAATTCAAAATTTGTCATCTTTTTTAAAAGTTTAAAAAAATAGTAGCAACATCCTTCCAAGTTTATACCCACAAATTTTAATAGAAAATAAATCCCTGGCTTATTTTCTTTAAATTTTAAACATTTAACATTTCTTTTGCAAGTTGTTTGCCTGAGTTTTCTTAAAGAAAAGTAAAGAATCTTTGATCTCTGTCAAACAAAGTGACATACCTGTTATGATAATTTAATAAAAATTAATATCTACAAATAATACTAAATTCTATTAATAAGAAAATACTGTCTAAGGCAGCATTTAATGAATTTTTATATATGCCAAAAAAAAGCAAGAATTCCATCATAATTTCCAGATTTAGTGAAATAATTAATTAGATTTGGGAGAATTGATTTTATTGCAATACTGTTTCCATTTTGATTTCTTTTTAAGTAGAACATCTGAATTTGGGATTTTAAATGGTAATTATTTTTATAACTCATTTCAGCTTGTCAACAATTTGGATTATGTAAAACTGCATATCAATTCAGATCTTCGAGTCAACATGTCCAACAAAAAGTGTACCAATTCCTGGACATTTACTGTCACTAGCAAGGTGTGTGCTTTTTATTTCATTCACTGACTGGCATACTTATCTTTCTTTTTCTTTTCTTTTTTCCCTCCCCTCCCTTTCTTCCCCCGTTTCTTTTTCCCCCCTTTCTTTTTATTTCCCCCCTTTTTTTTTTTCCCCTTTTTTTTTTCCCCCTTTCTTTTTTTCCCCTCTCTCTCTCTCTTTTCTCCTTTAAAAAAATTAAGTACATTATTTAGGTCACCTATATATTGGTTCTGAACAATAAACTTGTTAGGAATTAATTCATAAATTCTTATTTAATTTTGTGTGTTCTAGGTGTGTCTTCACCGTGTAATCTTGCTAGATGACAGCAGTCGACTATTTTTCCGCATCTCCAGCATCTCTGTGGGTCCACGAAAATCCCAAAAACATCAAAATATTGAAAATCCTTGCCAAGAGTGGGTCAACTATGAAGCTTACCAAATGAAGAACATATCAAGTACTAATGCAGTGGAGAATGTCTACAGAATAAAGGTGGGTCTCTCTCTCTCTCTCAATCCCCACCCCATGCACATAAACTTACATGCACCCTTCAATGACTGTCCTTTTTCATCACCACTTTATTCACAAATTAATTTCTTTTCTATGAAGTTAGTCTGGAAGGCATCTAGACATCTAATATTAAAATAAAATTAGTCTACTTTTTTTTTTTTTTTTTTTTTTTTTTTTCATTTCACCCCAGGCAAGGTAAAAAGCCACTATGCGCAAGGGGTTACTGAGTGTGAGAGAATATGAGAGAAAAAAATATTAAGGAGAGAAAAATATGAAAGAACAGGAATTAAGGAAATGGAAGATGACAAACGTTGCATTTAAATTTTTGAAGGTCAAAGTTGACTGGGATCAAAAAGCCGTAAGAGAGTTCCAGAAGTGAGAGAGAAGAAACTTTTAGCATAAAACTTAGTTACATCTCACCATTTCAATCATGAGATCTAACTGCCAATCTAGTACTGCACTTAAATTCATAAATTCTAGGTATCATAAAGGAAACTTATATTTATTTTGAATAATACAAAAATGTGGCACAAGGCCAAAACGGTGTATAGGGGAAGGCTGGTTTTGAATCTGTCTTGTCTTAAACTTAGCTCACCACAATTACTTACCCAAACATACCACAGTATTCCTTACACCAAACCATCACATTTTTACTTAGTATTATTACTACAGCCACCATAATACCTCAGAGTCTCTATGTAGTCCTAACTAGTTCTTGTATCTACAATTTGCCAACCCTACCATAAAGGAAAGTTCATCAGAAGAATTACTATGAAAGTATTTATAGAAAATGCACAGGGATGTTACACTACTGAGGTGGAAAAGTAACTGAAGCCAAGATCCCAGGTTGTTGCAGATTCTTCTTTGTATTTTATCAAGGATTTCTAAATATATAGACCATATATGGAAGCAATATTCAATGCCTGGATGAATGGTAGACCTATAAATGTGTAAGATAGATTCTGGCAATTAAAAATGTCTCACATGATACAGTGAACCAACTTTCCGAGCAGCATTTCTATCAATTGATTCAATATAATCTTTCCACTTTGGAGGTTAGCTTCAGCTATGCTGATGGAAGGCAGAAAGGGTTTTCTCAGGCAATTAAAAGAGAACAGTTTTATTTTAGCAGCATCCCAGTTCCATTCAAAGTACTCTCTTTGTGCTCTTACACACTTATACTAGCATCTTTTCCACTTTTCAAAATAGGGTCTGTCAAGTCTTGTTTTTGGATCACACTATCATTTGCTTTATTGAATTCTCACTAACCTTGTCTATGGAATTTTGCAAAAGAAACAGAAGTTGAAGTGATTTAATTTTGAATTAAATAGTTGAAACAACTGACCTGGTTTATACAATGTTAGGCACAAAACTCTGTACAAAATTATATATAGTATGGGCATCCATAACACAAACTCATTCATTAGCATCTCACTGCTGATTGAGTAACTCTACAGGAGAGTATCTGTTCATACATTTACAGTACTGTCCTTAAAGATAGGTTGCCAGCTTCTGTCAAGGCTGAGTAACTAGTTCTGAATATTTTCCAGGCAGATTGTAGATGAATTGGCCATGATTAAATTTAATAGGCAGAAATGCCCAACAAACAGAATTGACAAAGTTTGCAATAAACAATAAAAAGAGAAACAAAAGAACACGGCCCAAATAATTCTAAGCAAAGAAAATATGCAAGAAGACAAAAATAGGCAAAGCAACAGTAATTAGACAAAAAATTTAGACAAACTAAGAATAGTGTTGACACATAAAAGAGATACAGACAAGTGATCACAGCATTTTGACTTTAAGAAAGAACAAGAATATGGTGGATGAGACCAAAAAATTTGTCTAGGAAGAAATCCCAGCATGCATCTTTGTTTTATCTTTAAATATGACGAGAGAGAATGCTTTTTGCAGTCATTCCAAAAGAATTGGAACCAGTGTAAAATGTAAAATTGTCTTTAAAGAATTGTCATACCTTTGTTACAAGCAACAATTTTTATTATATAATAAAGATGAGTTGCTTTTTAATTATATAATCAGTTTGTAACTTTTATTTTTGTTTGCTCTGTTTAAAGATATATAATATGCAGTTCATCTGAAGTTATTATGCAAATCACATAAACTTCAATAACTTGAATTTGCTTTGAACAATTTTTGTCAAATTTTAAATGATTAATTTAGAACTCAAAAAGTTTGAGTTAAATTTTTAGGTCATTTCAACATGTTTTACTAAGGTCGTTGAATTTTTTATAAAAACTGCAGTTTGAAGTAATTATGCAGATTAAACTAAGGCATCTGAAACTTAATAAAAAACTACTTTTTTCTTTTTCCATAATATCTGTTGAAACATAGATCATGGAAAGGAATGCTGAAAAACAGAAAATAACTAAGTTATTGAATGATGGGGATGTTCACATTGGAGTTATCAAAGGGGGGCTTTGCAGAAATAAAGAGAAATGGTTGAGAACGAGAAGTAAAGGAAAAAAAGCTTTAAAAACTTGTCTCTTCAAGGGGAACATAAACTAAAGCAAGTTATAGCAAAACAGCCACTTCTGACCAGTGCTCAAATCTTTGAACAGGCTGGAATTGAGAGAGTAAAGGACAGAAGGTGTAGAATACTTCACAAATTAGGATTTGTGGAGCAAATCTCTTAGGCAAACTCCTCTCAGTAAAGCAAATATTTTAAAGTGTCAAACTTGGGCCAAAAAATACATAAAAATTGACTTTTCTAAGGTAATTTTCATGGACAATTCTCAGGTGACACTCAGTGGACCTGATGGATAGGCTAAAAGATGGATTTTGTCCAATGCAGATGTACCTATGGTTAAAAGAAGTCAGCAAGGAGGCAGCAGTATGATGACATGTGTTAGAATTGTCAACTAAACCATTATTGAACCATTCAAAGATGGAGTTAAACTGAACAGTGCTAACTACAGAGTGCCCCACAAAAAACAGGAAATTTTAGATTTACTGTAGAATGAAAAAAATTAACTAACATAAATTTTTTAACCATTTATTGTTCCAGGATGTCACAGTTATCAAATTTTATATTCAAGATAATTCTCTTTAGGAAAGGACATCCAACTTGGGGACTGAAAAAATGCTGAGAGATTTTGCCAGAATTTTTTAGTTTTAAGACCACATCTAACATTTGTGTTCTTGTTCTGTTTTAAGCTACTAAATTTCTACCCTTTGCTTTTATTTCAAATAGCTGTAACAAAAATTCCAACAATAAGATAAACTGTACCAAATTTCCTGTTTTTTTAGTTTTTTGATTTTGTTTTTTTTTTTTTTATGTGAGGCAGTATTACAATTTCATAGACAAGAATTTCTTTGAATGGTACTAATCCCAGCCTCACAATTTTAAAGTGAAGTGTGCACGACAATGCTCCTTCTCATGCCTCTAAGTATACCCATGAATTTTTTGAGTGTAAAATGTTTACAAGAGAAGATAATGGAATGTCCACCAATTCCCAATCTAAATCCAATCAAAAAACTATGGTCAATTTTGAAGATGGAATTATATGAAGATGGCAAACAATATGGTAGCAAAGCAGGCCTATAGGGAACAATTAAGACCATCATGTCAGAAATTGAACCTACTGAAGTAATAACTTAACAAAATCAATGGATAATATATTTCTGGCTGTTATTGAGAAGAAGGGTCATTATATTAAGATGTAAGTGCTTCTAAGACTTATCATATATGTTTATTTGTTCTATTATAGGTTTTGATCAATTATTGATGATTGAATTATCTTGTTTTTGCAGTAAAAAGTGATTTTCTGGTTTTGCATAACTTCAGACTACAGTTTTTAATAAAAAAAAAAGATAGTTTTTATAATAAATCTGTTAATTTTTTAGCATAGTGGTCCCAAAATGTCATAATCTGACAATCAGCTTATAGTAATAACAGCTTTTGCACATGTATTTTTGTTTTTTTGTTTTCTTTTTTAATTTTATTTATTTTTTAAATAGAATTGGTGAAGTCTTCAATAAGCAATACTCTTAAAGAGTGTTCAGTATGTTTGAAGTATTTTTTTTTTTAAAATTTATTTTTAAATAGAATTATAGTCTTCAATAAGCAAACTCTTAAAGAGTGTTCAGTATGTTTGAAGTATTTTTTTTTTAAATTTTATTTATTTTTTAAATAGAATTGGTGAAGTCTTCAATAAGCAATACTCTTAAAAGAGTTTCAGTATGTTTGTTTTTTTTTTTTTAAATTTTATTTAATAAATCTTTTTTTTTAAATAGAATTGGTGAAGTCTTCAATAAGCAATACTTAAAGAGTGTTCAGTATGTTTGAAGTATTTTTTTAAATTTTATTTATTTTTAAATAGAATTGGTGAAGTCTTCAATAAGCAATAGTGTTCAGTATATTTTTGTATTTTTTTAAATTTTAATTTTTTAAATAGAATTGGTGAAGTCTTCAATTTTTTTTAAGTATTTGAAGTATTTTTTTTTAAATTTTATTTATTTTTTTTAGAAAATACTCTTAAAATTCAGTATGTTTTGAAGTATTTTTTTTTAAATTTTATTTATTTTTTAAATAGAATTGGTGAAGTCTTCAATAAGCAATACTCTTAAAAGAGTGTTCAGTATGTTTGAAGTATTTTTTTTAAATTTTATTTATTTTTAAATAGAATTGGTGAAGTCTTCAATAAGTCTTCAAATACTCTTAAAGAGTGTTCAGTATGTTTGAAGTATTTTTTTTTTAAATTTTATTTATTTTTTAAATAGAATTGGTGAAGTCTTCAATAAGCAATACTCTTAAAGAGTGTTCAGTATGTTTGAAGTATTTTTTTTTTAAATTTTATTTATTTTTTAAATAGAATTGGTGAAGTCTTCAATAAGCAATACTCTTAAAGAGTGTTCAGTATGTTTGAAGTATTTTTTTTAAATTTTATTTATTTTTTAAATAGAAGTCTTCAATAAGCAAATACTTAAAAGTGTTCAGTATGTTTGAAGTATTTTTTTTAAATTTTATTTATTTTTAAATTGGTGAAGTCTTCAATAAGCAATACTCTTAAAGAGTGTTCAGTATGTTTGAAGTATTTTTTTTAAATTTTATTTATTTTTTAAATAAAGAAGTCTTCAATAAAGCAATACTCTTGTTCAGTATGTTTGAAGTATTTTTTTTAAATTTTATTTATTTTTTAAATAGAATTTAGTTTTTAAATAGAATTTTTTAAATGGTGAAGTCTTCAATAAGCAATACTCTTAAAGAGTGTTCAGTATGTTTGAAGTATTTTTTTTAATTTTATTTATTTTTTAAATAGAATTGGTGAAGTCTTCAATAAGCAATACTCTTAAAAGTGTTTATCAATATTTTTTTTTTAAATTTTATTTATTTTTAAATAGAATCAGTGAATTCAGTATGTTTGAAGTATTTTTTTTAATTTTTTTTTTTTTAAATAGAATTGGTGAAGTCTTCAATAAGCAATACTCTTAAAAATGTTTGAAGTATTTTTTTTTTAAATTTTATTTATTTTTAAATGTTGGTGAAGTCTTCAATAAGCAATACTCTTATGTTCAGTATGTTTGAAATTTTTTTTTAAATTTTTTTTTTTTTAAATTTTATTTATTTTTTAGTATTTTTTTTAAATTTTAATTTTTAAATAGAATTGGTGAAGTCTTCAATAAATACTCTTAAAGAGTGTTCAGTATGTTTGAAGTATTTTTTTTAAATTTTATTTATTTTTAAATAGAATTGGTGAAGTCTTCAATAAGCAATACTCTTAAAGAGTGTTCAGTATGTTTGAAGTATTTTTTTAAATTTTATTTATTTTTTAAATAGAATTGGTGAAGTCTTCAAAACAATATCTTAAAGAGTGTTCAGTATGTTTGAAGTATTTTTTTTTAAATTTTTTATTTTTTTAAATAGAATTGGTGAAGTCTTCAATAAGCAATACTCTTAAAGTGTTCAGTATGTTCATTTTTTTTTAAATTTTATTTTATTTTTAAATAGAATGTCTTCAATAAGCAATACTCTTAAAGAGTGTTCAGTATGTTTTTTTTTTAAATTTTATTTATTTTTAAATAGAATTGGTGAAGTCTTCAATAAGCAATACTCTCTTAAAGAGTGTTCAGTATGTTTGAAGTATTTTTTTTTAAATTTTATTTATTTTTAAATAGAATTGGTGAAGTCTTCAATAAGCAAAGAAGTATTTTTTTTTAAATTTTATTTATTTTTGTTCTTAAAGAGTGTTCAGTATGTTTGAAGTATTTTTTTTTTAATTTTATTTTTAAATTTTTAAATAGATAAGCAATAATATTTAAAAGTTCAGTATGTTCAGTATTTTTTTTTAAATTTATTTATTTTTTTAAATAGAATTGGTAGTATAAGCAATTTTAAAAAGTGTTTTTTTTAGTATTTTTTTTTTAAATTTTTATTTTTCAGAGGAGTGGGTAGGATATTCTAATAGGTTTATATTATGAGTATTTAACTCTTTGTACTAACAGATATTTTCTTGGATAATTTTTCTCACTAGAATCAAAATGGTTAAGAATATAAACATCACATTCTGTTCAAATTCTTGGAATAAAATTATCATTAAGAAAAACATGTTACTGACAATGTCTTTGGACTTTAGAATTTCTGACATATCTTCCAATGTCTTCTAATTCCAGGTGGTTTTCAAAACAAACATTTATGGAACCTTTCGACAGTCACTTGTGTTTGATTTTGGCACTGAGCCACTGCTTTCACGAGAGATGCATGTTGAGTCTGCACCAATCCAAGAAGCGGATAAATTATCCAAAGATTTGATGTGCTTTGATGCAAACAGATGGACAGAATTGAATACAGAGATCATCAAATTTGAACCAAAGTAGGTATTGCTTCATGAAATGTGTACCATTTCAACAGAAAAAACTTTTAAATATGAGTATGTTGACAGTTATGATTGAGATTTTATTTCAATGATCATCATCATTAAAATGCCCACTTTTGAGCAGTATGGACAGATATTGTTTTATTTCTTTCCAGTTCCTTTATTTCAAGGGATAAGTCACCATCCTTAAAATGCTTAAACCAGTTTAGGGCAGTATGGTCAGATATTGTTTTATTTCTTTCCAGTTCCTTTATTTCAAGGGATAAGTCACCATCTTTAAAATGCTTAAACCAGTTTAGGGCAGTATGGTCAGATATTGTTTTATTTCTTTCCACGTCCTTTATTTCAAGGGCCAAGTCACCATCCTTAAAATGCTTAAACCAGTTTAGGGCAGTATGGTCAGATATTGTTTTATTTCTTTCCACTTATTTTATTTCAATGAATGTCGAAATGTTTGTTGATGCTCTTAGCTATTTTCTTTAATTTCTTCTTTTTTTTTTTTTCTTAAACAAGTCATTATCTTTTTTCCATTAAAAAAAAATTAGTATTTAAAAATTTTTTTTTTTTTTTTTTTTTTTTCTCATCAGTCCTCTTGCATTGAGTGATAAAGAGGAAACATTGTTGGAAGAATATCCACTTCCAGATCCCAACAAACTTCAAATGCAAGAAGTTATTTCACAGACATTTTGCAGAGAGAATTACCGAGAATGGATGCATGACCTGCTGTATTTTGAAGAACTCACCCAGTTTGGGTTAATTTCCAGGTAAATTTTTAAATATCTTTCTTTTTTTTTTTTCTGCTAAAATTTAAAAAATTTTTTTTTTATTTATTTTTTTTTCATGGTAAATTTTTAAATATTTTTCTTTTCTTTTTTTTTTATTTTTTTTCTGGTAAATTTTTCAATTTTTTTTTTTTTTTTCTGGTAAATTTTTAAATATTCTTTTTTTTCTCTTGGTAAATTTTTAAATTTTTTTTTTTTTTTCCTGGTAAATTTAAAAAAATTTTTTTTACTGTAATTTTTGATGACATAAGCACATTCATTTTTAAACATATATAACAATGATAACTTGTCTTCAGTGGTAGGCTTAAAATAATTTTAGGAACTGGTTCTTTACCTCTTTGATTTTTTTTATTAACATAATTAAAACAAAAGATACTTAACTAAAAAGTTTAATTACAATGCTTCAAAAATTTCCATATTTTGGTTATAGAAAAATAAGAAAATAAATAATCAAAACTTATGCTGCATAGATCAAAAACTGTTGGAATCTGAACATATGATTGTATACTTCTGATAAAGATCCCTTGTACATCCACAAAATTGTGTGAAATTTTATCATCTGACATATTTATTCAGTATGGTTTCATCATATCCTATAGTCTACATTTTTCTTTCTTTTTTTTTTTCTTTTTTTTTTTTTAATCATTTCACTCAAAGCATAGCAAGAAAGCCACTAAGATGCAGGAACTTAGTGAGTATGAAAGAATATAAAAAAAAAACATTATTAAAGAACAAGAACAAAAGAAAGAAATTCAGAAAAGAGAAGGTAACAATTGACATTGCATTTAAATTTTTAAAGATGAAAGTTGACTAAAGAAAGGAGCCCAAAGAGTTCCATAAGCAAGAAGTACAAGAAACCATTAGCATAGAAATTACAGTTATTTCAACTGTAAAAAGATCAGACTTTGCTACCAATCTAGTACTGCACTTAAATTCATAAAGTCTAGGTACCATAGAAGAAAGTTCATCAGAACAATTACCATGAAAGTAATTATAGAAAAAGTACTGGGAAGCTACATTATGGTGGTGGAAAAGTGGCTGAAGCCAAGATGCCAGGTCAAGACTAATAACATTGCAAATTCTTCTTTATATTTTATCAAGGATCTCTTAAATATATAGCAAGAGCACTGTGCCATGTGTGGCAGCAATATTCAAAGCCTAGCTAAATGAGACTTATAAAATGTAATTTAGATAGACAATTTTTCTCTCTTGAATCTATCACGACACAGTGAACCAACTTTCCTAGCAGCAGACGTAGCAATTGATTCTATATAATCTTTCCACTTTATGTCTGCAGAAATGTTAGCTCCAGAAGGTGCAATTAAGACATATTGAATTTCTTCCCCACTAGTTATACGAGTTTGCTCCACTGTTTTGTGTATGAGTTCTGCTGATATGGTTCTTTTTCTGTTTGATCTCCAAAGTTAAGCCATGTCAATCCTGGTAACTACTTAGATGGGAAACCACTTGTGGACACAAGGTGCTGTAAGCAACTTCCTACAATCTGAAATATGCAGACAGCTTAGGTTTAAGGCTCCAAGTTCTTCAACCAGGATTGTCCCGTGGAACAATAGCCTAGTGGATTAAAGCATGGATCATGAATTTGGTGATATAGTAATTGGGAGTTCAATCCCTATGTTTGGCAGTGTGTACTTGGACTCTGTGGATATGGGGGTGAGCAATAACTGAGCAGTACTAAAAACAAGAATTAGATGAGATATACTTGAGAAAGCTCCTCCACATCTTCTACTGGTAGTACAAAACCAATGACTATATATGATGAAAGTTCAAAAGTCTTGTGGGTCAGCAGGTATCACTTCTCACCACTATTCAAAAGTCTTGTGGGTCAGCAGGTATCACTTCTCACCACTATTAAGCATCAGAAGTTATCAATGGTTTGGCTATGGCACACGACATAACAGCCTCTGCAAGTACCAGGTGTTGTTGATGGCAGAAGCAAGCAAGGGCAGCAATTTAAAAGCTGATCAGACAACACCAAAGAGTGAATAGATATAAGACCTTGAGGAGGTTGTCTGTTTCTTTTGACCTTGTCCCCCCCCCCCTACCTATCGATTGAAGCAGTTAAACACTGATGATGATTAACCGTTACATCTATGCACTAACTTTCAGAGTTGTGTCCTCTGGATCCACATTAATTTTGGGTGGGCTAAGTTTTTGAATGGTGGGTGTATTGCTAACACTGTTACTTTTAGGGTTTTAGAGATATTGTTATAAAATTTTCAGGGTATTTGCATGAAAGATATGTAGAAAAATGTAGACATGATATTTTAGTGTACATATAGTAAATTTTGAGAAGAAAAACATGAAAACAAATACAACAGAATTGCTAAAAAAATGATTCCTACTCCTCACATATAAAACTGGGGGGGTTCTGTTGTCCAGTAAGATAAATACAAAGGTCACTTTGTCAAACCTATCAACAAAAACAAGGTCAAAAATGCTTTCATTTCTTCAAAGCAAACTTTTTCCAAACTCTGATTTGTGAGTTGAGCTTTGCCGTGTTACCTAATTTTGTTTTCACATTGTTTGCATACTGGTCAGTTTCCACTACCATTAGTTGAATAACTTCATCAGATAAAAAAAAAAAAAAAGACGAAAAACGTCTACCTCACTAGCTTCTTGATCAACATTTATAGGTCCACGAGTGTAAGAAAACTCTGTTTGTTATGGGTGATCGTATGAAGGTTCGAAAATTCCCCCTTCTTGATCAGAATCACTTTCAGTCTCCCTGTCACACTTATTGCCAATATCTGCGTGGGTAAATCCAAGAAATTATTCATCACTCACTGTCTATCGATGTAACAGATCCATGCTTTGCTCTGGGGTTTGCTATTGTGATCAAAAAACAAACGTTTTTAAAACACTTTATTAAAATTTGCTGATAAAATAACTATTTCAATTAGGACAAAATAACTGACCTCCAGTCATTCCCAGTTCATATCGCAAGCTTAATGACGTAATTTCCATAGTAATAGGTTATTTTTAAAAATGTACTTTCCTTTTGAAGCAAAGCTCTGTCACTCGGCAGCGAACATGTCCACTCTGGGAATATTGAGAAAAAGTATCGCCAGCAGATGTGTATGCTTGTAGAGTTGTAAAGGTTAATATACAAAAATGATAAAATGAAACTTATTTGTACAAATTCCTGTATTTTTTTGAAAACAATTGCATTAAATGTAAACTAAAGACTTTCTTTTTTTTTTTTTTTTTCTCTCCTCATTTTTAGATTCAATGTGAAAGTAACATTGCAAATAGTTGACAGATTTATGCTGGTGCCTGGAGGATTTCGCTTAGCTAAATACAGCTCAGATGGTCAGCTATTTGCCAGAATGAAGTTGGAAAATGAACTTTCTGAAGACACCATGCATGGGAGACTTGTTTTACAAAGTGCCAACACAGTGCTCTTTGCTCCTGATAACAATTCCAGTGACAGTGATTCTTTCAGAAATGAAATTGACAAGGTAACCATTTTCGTGTTTCTTTTTATCTACAACTGTTATTTTCAACACAAATAAAGCAGACAAGTCATCTTTATATTTCTGTTGAGGAACAAAGAAAATGAACTAGAAATGAAAGAAGAGCTTTTGCTTTTGGAATTACAATGATATGGAGGGGGGGGTAATATTTTTAAATTTATCAAAGTATGACAAGTTGTACTGTCTAACATTGACTAATTTAATTATACTTTTAAGTAATTTTGTAATTGTTTATATTTTCTGTATAAATAATCTGGGATTTTCATCTACACTATTAATTCTACTGTTGCATTTAAGAAAGATTTTTTTTTATTTATTTATTTTTTTAAAATCATTAAAAGTAAAAATGTCCCAAGAAAGCAAACAAAACTTTACATATTTGTGTGTAAAAATTTCAGATACTGTAAAAGGATGATTTGAATAAAGACAAGAGGGAAACTTAGTTGACATGTTTCATTCTTTAAGAGACTTTATCAAGGCAAATGCATACTGTCAGAAAATGACTGCAATATTCAAATTAACAGTTGCATTGATCATGTTTTCTGCATGGATATTTATCTATGAAATTAACACTATTGCTGCAAGAAATAATTTTACTTTTTAAATCATTAAAATAAAATTATCCAATGACAGCTAACATAAAAAAAAAAAAAAGATTGTATTAACAACATACTCTCATGCTTTGGTTCTGAAATATTTCACCATTGAGTAATATCTCTTGCTGCCATAACACAGCTGTTTGAGGTTTCCTACAGACCCACTGAACTTAAATAAAGTCAATTCAGGTTTCCTATGGTAAAAATAATCTTTCCCAAGTGAAAATCATCACAAAAATAGCAAAAGTCATTTTGTCACAGCTTATTTTCTCTCAAAATATGGGTTTTCATACTTTTTAGGGTAAAATATTGAAAAATGACTGTTTTATCATCACCTAAACTAATATCAAGGAAACTTTTTTGATCTGAACCCCATGAAACTAGGTATTTTCTGAAAGCAAAAGATATATTCTTTCATTTAAAAGTAAAAATTAGCTGGTGTAAATGACTCAAAATTTTTTTTCAGTGGGTAAAATGTGAAAAAATAGTGAAAATTTTGCATTTTTTCTTGTTCTAAACAAATATTTCCCCATTAATGGGAAATTAATCATTTTTTTTTTTTTTTTTGAAAATCAGAAAGCCTAAATCATAATGAAACTATTTCAGGCATAAAATTGAGAGTTTTGAAGGAAATCAACATTCCTAGAGGTTCAAAATGCGACAAAATCCATTGGTAATTTTCAATTATATGACTGCCAAGGGTTAAAAAAATTGACACCTGGCCACGGAAATCTTTAGTAAAAGGCAAGAGATTTATCTGCAATTCCTAACCACCAGAAACCAAAAGTTTTTTTTTCCCTAAAAATAGCGATAAGGGAAAATAAACCTAATTGACTTTGACGTCTAGGTCAAAGGCCAGCCAGCCAGCAATAAACGGACGGCAAACCTTAGAACAAGTTGTAATAAAACCCACCACTCCCAGATAAAAGCAAAGAGTGAAAAAAAAAAAAAAGGGTTCACAATTACTAGGGCTTCATACAACCTATGTTTGAACAATGGCTTGATGAGTTTACTTTTGTTTTGTTTTTAACACCCCGTGACCCGGGTGATGACAACAACACTTAGCTTAGCCGGACATTGTGTTTTTCGCCGCATATCTTTCCTATTTCCCATCGCCGGTCCATTTAGCCTTTCTTTTTATTCAATGATGTTCATGCCAAATGAAAAGAAAGGAATGAATTTTGAATGATGTTATTTTTGAAGCGAAAATAAATATTTTTTCATAAAAAAAGGGATTTTTCTCAGAAAATTGGGCATAATTTCTTAATGCTAACCGCCCGAGTGACATTTTCCACAGCCAAATCGAAGATTAATTACCAGTGAATAATTCCATGTGCAAAAAATAGCTGTCTGGATCCTATAAGGTCGCCCTAAAAGGTCAGAAGTTTACTAATTGATCGAAAACCTGTTGCGCATAATTGTATTTTTTCACAGTCAGTTTGCATTATTTCATCTTGATATTACCATTTTCGGACAGCCAAGTCATCAAGGATTCAGGAAAACACTTTGGCATAGGTTTTTTCTTTAAGAACTTTACATTCTATGAGGTGTTTAAAATGTTACTAACGAATGAGATTTTTTGCCAAATATTTCGTTTACGCGCCATGTTGGATTTTCCTATATGACAAAAACAAGGGTTTTAAACAGCTGTGATAACAGAATATCTCTTTAATAAGGAAGATAAGGCTGATACATCTATAAAATAGATTTTAAATAGTTTTTTTTTTTTCCTAATCTTGTTTACATTATTCAGACTATTGTCCTCGTCTTTGTCGCCATATTCATCACAACATTTCGGCCATTGTATGCTCCGGCCTTTTTCAGGTGGTTGGAATGACGAACTGAACCCTTTATTTCGCTTACTGGGGTAGATTGTTCTAGTTCCACCTGCCATGTTTAATGGATATCAGTTATCTCCTGTTAATTCCCCTCTGAACGTTCGAATAATGTAAATAGTGTACATAATACCTCATCTCAGAAATATAGACAGATACTAATCTTGTTTATTTATTTATTTATTTATTTTTATTTTCTGATCTTATTCACATTATTTATATTCAGACTATTGTCCTCATCCTTGTGGTTATCACATTCCAGCAGTTGTAGCCTCCAGCTTTCCTTAGGTGTATATTAATCTGGATAACTCGAACCCTTTATTTAATTTACTGGAGTAGACTGTTCTCATTCCACTGCTCTTGTCTAGGGATATTTTATTTCGTACTGTTCAATTATTGCTTGCCCGTTTCCACCGAATGCAAGTACACACTACCTGACCCAGGGATTGAACCCACAACCACCATATCAACAAATTCGCAAATCAACACTTTTATCCACTTGGACAATTTGCTGTAGTGAACTTGGAGCTTTAAATTCAACCTACCTGCTGATTAGGCTGCAACTGTTGCTTCTGACCATGTTTTGACTGTTGCTGCTGCAGTTGAAGACTTGCTATCAGCTCCAGATATATTACAAATAACTCCTCATCCCAGAAATTCAGACAAATTTTCTAATCTTATTTATTTAAATTTAATAATTATTTTTGAATTTGAACAAAATCCTAATTCATTCTGCATTTTTTTATTCCAAAGGTCTACGAAGCAATTATTGAAGATAAAGGGAAAGATTTTGTCTTTTTCCGATTATCCGCAAAGTGCGTAAGTGACCTTTTGTTGAAACCTGACCAGGAATTACCAGTTCATGTAAGTGACCTTCTCTTTTAAACCAATTTTATTACTTCTCTTAGGTTTTATAACTACAAAAGGATGTGATTGAAGGGCTTTTCATTTAATTTCATCGTTGAGAATGTTCTGATGCTTTCATTCACTTTTTCCAGACTGAAGGTTTTTCTAAATTTCAACACTTTTAAGGTAATTCAAATTTAAATTCAATCTGTAACCTATCTGCAAAAGTCAACCTATATATACTACATAGGCACATATCCTTATAGGATTATTCTCACACTGTATCACAGAGGCATTCTTACTTGTGAATATATGATTTTTGTCATTTTGTGAATTATTAAAAAAAAAAAATCTTATATTTAATCACTGGTGGGATTTATTTGAAGTTGTGTGAATGTAAAAAAAAATTTTTTTTTTTTTTTAAATTTCACCACACTTTACTACAACTACTACTACCAACTTCTTGTTTCACTGAAATTATGTTGAAGTGACTCCTAATCTATTCTCTCCCCATTGTAACAAACTTGTTGAAGTTTTTGTGTTAAAAACAAAAACAGAATAATAATACTCTTCTATAATTTTATGTATATTTTTGTCTTGTCAATATTTTCTGTCAACATTTTCTTTGTTTTGATTCAAAGGAATACTTGGAATTTAATTTAAAATGTCCAAACAGGATTTATTTTTAATTTTTCCTGTTTTAAAATAACTCAAATTTAAATTCAATTTTTAAGCTGTCTATTAACCCTTTTATGTTACATGAGGAAGCACAGTCAGGTAATGGATAGTGGCTCAGATTGAAGAATTGGAGAACCGAGTTCAAATTCCAGTTGAATCCCATTACATTCATTTACATGCTAATACTCTTAGGAAAGGTATGAATCCTCTTCTTCTCCCCGCAGCTATGGGTAAATAGCAGGACAAACTAGGTTCTATAGCCTTAGATGGCAACTGGTATACCACAGAAAGAAATGGCAACCTAATGCAGGGGTGGAAGGAGGAATCTGCCTTGTCAGTCATGTATCGAAAGATACATGATCGCCTAAGCGTGTATTACACATGGCACATAACTGACTGATGCTACATATATTTTGATAGGAAGCTTATACTTAACATCTGGAAGAAGCAGCTGAAATTTCTGGAACACATAATGAGATAGGAGGGCTTGGAGAATCTGATACTCACAGGGTTGGATAGAGGGAAAAAGAGACAAGGGAAAGCAACACGTGACATACTGAGTGGATGACAGAACAGGGTTTGGGAGAAGTAGCAAAAAGACAAAACATATTGAGAACTACAAGGGATAGGGGGAAGTGGAGAGCCATGATCGCCCACGTCCTGAAAGGCCATGGCACATAAAAGAATTTTGACAGGATTATTCTCAGATTATATGGTGTTTATTTTTGCTCATGAATATCTGGTTTGGACCATTTTCATAAACACTGAAAGCAATAAAATTATAAATACATGCACTTAGCCTACTGCCATTGCTGTTGAAGTCTGTTATCATCGAGTTTAAATAATATATTTTGCTTGCTTGAAATACTTTGTTAGAGTCAAGAATGTCTTGCAAGGCTTGGCTGTCATATTGAAATTCAATCCTCTACTGATGAAAAAGAATCACGACAAACTAAATTTGGGTTATTTTGTTCCAGTATGAAAGCTACCATATTTCTTGGGAGGGTTCAATAATATATATATATTTAGGTAGCTAAATAGTTTGGTATTTAGATATTGGATTTTAGTGTAAACTTTGTTTCCTGAAAAAGTTGAAGTTAAAAAATGTGCCAGTTGATGAAATTAAAATTATTTTTTTTTTCTAAATTTACCCCAAGCAAGGCACTAAAACCACTAAGACAAGTGGTTACTGGATGTGAAAGAATTAGAAAATAGAAACATTGTAAAGAAGTGAGAACAATAGAAGAGTAATCAGGAAAACAGTAGATAATGATTGTCATTGTATTTAAATTTTTGAATGTCAAAGTTAGCCAGAAAACAGAGCCAGAAGAGATTTCCACAAGCAAGAAGTACTTTTTTTAGTTTCAATTTTTTTTCTTATAACCTGTAGAGTGAGTGACCATGTTTAAATGTAAATAAATTTTCAGAATTGCCCAACAAACAGAATTGACAAAGTTTGCAATAAAAAAGAAAAGAACAGGGCAATAAACAAACATAACATTCTGACTTGAAGACAAGACTGACTGGGACTGAGTCAGATGAAACTGAGAACTGGCCTCTTTTATTGGCTAGGAAGAAATCCCAGCATGCATCTGTGTGCTTGTGCCTATAAATTGAGAACGGGAATGTGTTTTGCAGTCATTCCCTGTAGGGATTGGAACCAACTGACCCAAAATAAGCAGGCATATTATGGGATGCAAATAAAATAGGAGAAATATATTAGTACTTTTAGTCACAATTGGCCATTTTGTTAAGTGTTAATAATCTCAACATAAACAGGGTTCTTAAACTTCCTGCCTGATAACATTCACTTGAATACAAAGAAAAAACAATTACTTTATTTTCCTCACTACAGCATTTTCCATGCATTTTATTTTGGAATGGATGTGCAGGTGGTGTAATGGTTAATGGCTCAGAATGAGAAATCTGCAAGCCAAGTTCAAATTCCAGTAGAGTTAGTTACATTCACTTTCATGCAAATATCCTTGGGAAAAGTATGAATCCGTTTCCTCCCAGCTATGAGTTAAATGGCAGAGCAGTCTAGGTTCTTTAGCCTTGGTTGATAACCAGTCTAAGAAAAGACCAACTGAATTCAGAACTGGTTGGGCATGAAGCTAGCCACTCCATCTTGTGAAAAACCTATTTACTATAGATACCACAATAATTATTAGCATGTTGTTTGTTGTCCCCTACTTCAGTTAGAGTGTAAGGGACTTGTGAGAGGGAGTATTTTTCTTCCATTGCTTTGTTCATCATTTTGAATTCAGAGCTGTCCTTCTCCCAGACTGGTTGCCAACCAAGGCTAAAAAAAAACAAAAATACTATCTACCCTACTATTTTATCCATAGCTGAGGAGCAAAAGAGATGGATTCATGCTTTTTCCAAAGGTGTTAGTGTAAAGTAAATTCATCAACCTAGGCCAGAGTTTGAGCTCTGCTTGTCTCCACATCTAAGATTTAAAATCAATAAGAAAGATTAACAGAACAGTTTTTTGTACACTTTTATCTCTCTCTTGTACTTTATAAGTTTAGAAGATTTTTTTTTATCTTTCTAGGTCCAATTTCAACTGAATCGGCAACCTAAGGTTGAGATGCATGCTGCTATAGATAACTTGCCAGATCTTGACATTGTATTTCCTACAATGTCTAATATTCCTGATAGACCCTGGCAAATTAACAGGTGATTTTTTTTTTTTTTTTTTTTTTTTTTTTTTTTTTTATCTGTTTCTTTTAATTTTTCTTTATTTTTCTTCCTGGGTATGATGTTAAACTACATCTGGCAGTAAGGCCTCTGATCGGATGATTGGAGATTTTGAGGAGCATGGAACCACCTATTAATTGCTGTTATATCCAAGTCCACAATGACCTGGTCTGGTAACATCTTTTAGCTATGGGCAAACAGTGAACCCCCAAACTAAAATCAAAACATTAGAAAGTATAAAGTTACATTTGTATAATGAAATACCAACAATACATTTTTATAGCCAAATGGCCAACAGTACGTTTTCATGGCCAACAGTACGTTTTTACAGCCACATGGCCAACAGTACGTTCTCATGGCCAACAATACAGTGTAAAAAAAATAATAAATAAAAAAAACAATTCACTATGATTAATTTCTTCTGAGGAGAAACAAGTTTTCACTTGTTTAATTTTATAAGATTATTTGGTAAAAAGAAAAAAATGTAACTAAATAATTTAAACATGAAATAATTTAATTCTCTTGAATTATTTACATCATTCCGGCTGTTGTCCTTCTCTCTATTGCAACTTTTTCAGCCGTTGTAAGCTCCGTCCTTCTTCCAGTGATATATGTTGGAATTTTGAACCAAACACTTTATTTAGTCCACAGGGATAGATTGATCTCATTCCATGCCTTTTTTTTTAATACCTTGTTTCAGTTAATTCCCTTTAGCAACTCCAGGTTTTTGTTCTTTCTGCTGTGGCCAGGTATTGAACTCACAACTCTTTGGTTTAAGTCACTTTTTTGGAATACTTAATGAACACTTTTATCCACTGGGCCATGTACCAACTGAATTAATTATAAAGTTTGAATTTTCATATTTAGATTTTGGCATTAAATAACCCATAGAGGTGCTGATATGCTGTTAAACAAAAAACAATCAATCTTCTTGATTTGCTAAAAAATAAAATAAAATTAGTTTAATACTGAATTGAGTTGAGCTTCTAATCCATATTTTTCTTTTTGTCTAATATTTCCAGCAATGCATTTAACCTGCTTCCTTTGTTGTTGCAGCTCTTTGGAACCATTACTTGATCAAAGAGTAAATGAAAAACAATTACAAGCCATTGCAGGAATTATAGCTGCACCGTCTGGTATGCGATTACCTCCCTTACTTTTGCTCGGACCTTATGGAACAGGGAAAACATTCACATTGGCTCAGGCTGCTAAGCTTGCTCTACAAAAAGAAGGAACACGAATCATGATTTGCACTCATTCCAACAGGTAGCGAAAACTTCTTTTTGCTAATATTACAAATTAACTATTGATTATTTTTTAAAATCATTCATACATTCAGCATGCATACAAAGTCTTTTTATTTTTTTTTTATTTATTTTTTTTTTTAGGCAGGACTAGAATTAATTTTGCACAAAGGAAGTTCAGTCCTGTTTGACAGAGGATTTGTCATAATGATTTGAGGCAGGGTTTTATAAGGCTGTAGGCTCTTCTTGACACCCAACTCAAACTCTTGATACACCAAGTGCTTTTATCAAGACACCGTCTCTAGTAATATTGCCATTCAAGGCTTGAGACCCCCAGGCAAGTTATATATATATATATATATATATATATATATATATATATATGATCATTTAATCACCAGTTACTTGCCATCGCCTGAAGAAGTTCAATCATAGTATTGAAACATGAAAGCTTTTGTGTAGTGATTTCAAAATGTTTTTATTATAATCTCTTATAATAAAAATAATATATTGCTCTACTTTGTATTGAGCACTTTTTTTTTTTTTTTTTTTTTAAAGTAAATGCTACAAACTGGATTTTTACTCCATCTGTTCTTTCTATCATTTGGTTATATATACACACAAACAAACACAGCCATGTTTTTTGTTGACTCTAGGTTCTACAAGGATGCATGCTCGTCCTGTCACCCAACTCAGGCACTCGTGGTATTTCATGTACAATGTTTTTTTCAAGGAGGGGTTTACATTCACGACTTGATACCCCATCCTAACCTTTATATATAACATTATTTCCTACATTATTTAAAAATTCAAAACTAAAAAACGATTACCTTGTAAATAACCACCATGAAAAATGCGAATACATGTATTATATACAACACAGATAATGTGATATTCTTCAAACTTAGCATTGTAAACTAAACAAGATAACCAACCTACCGAAAAAGAAAAAACAAAAAATCAACGAACTACAAATGTAAACATAAACACGAGTAAATGTAATAATCATTTGTTGTTGATTATTATTATTATGTGATCAATAATAAATGAGTATAAAGTTAATAATAAACACTATAAAAAAGCTACAAATAACCACATTCAGATTCAAAATTATTTCTACTCAATAGCCTCTAGAATAATTTGAAACCTAGCCATTACTGTCCACCTAATAAATATTAGGATAATCCAATAGACCTTACTACACATAATGCACCATCGAGCAGCATATATAAATAGTAGAGCTAAAACATTACACACATGGCCTGAAGATTGTGTGCAAGCATGAAACACTCTCGCTGCATGGTGTTGACCTCAGTGTCCACTTTTATATTTAAATACACTCAATCTCTGATATTGAGCACTGTTACACATAAATACCTTAAAATTATATTTATCATATATTGGCTGTTGGCTACTATAAGAAACTCTTCCATCCTTTGACAAGTCTTGCTTTTTGTTCTGCAGAGTGACATGCCACCCTCCTCACCAGCATGTAAACTTGTCTGGGACCTGGTTTAGATGTCAACAACCCGTCCATATGGTAGGTTGTACTGAGTTACATATGAAATGTTTTTAAGGGGAAATAACTCTTAATGATTTTTTTTTTCTAGTGCGGCTGACCTTTACATTAAAGAATTCTTTGATCCTTATGTAATGTCCGGTCATGAAGAAGCTCGTCCACTGCGTATCTATTTCCGCAAACGTTGGGTACAGACTGTACACAGTGCTGTACTCAAATACTCACTGCTTCAGCTTGACTCAACATTCAGGGATCCTACTATTGAAGATCTAGAGAAGCACAGGGTTATTGTGACAACTCTCAACCAATCTCGAACGATTTATGATTTGAATTTGGGCCCTGGTAAGTCTAACTGTTTTTCTTTTCTTTCTCTCTCTCTCTCTCTTAGTGTCTTTCTTATTTTTTTGTGTTTCTTAAAAATATAGGGCTTTCAGGAATGTCTATTTTGATACATTAGAAAATTATTGCATGACTTGATGGTAAATAAATAAATAAATGCATGCTGGTTTGCCACCATTACATATTTTGAAATAAATGTAAGGAAGAAACAAGTCTGTATAATAAAAAAAATATATATATTATTTTGAAAAAATTAACTAGAAAGAAAAACAAAAAGTGAATCTATGTGCACAAAAAGGAGGCATCCATACTTTATTTTAAGGAACATAAATCTCCCTAAGCAGGCGATTGCTGTTTGTTTTTCTTTGGGGGAGGGGGGGTTCTTCACCTTTTGAAAATATGGGAAATACTAAAATTGGTATAAATTTTCCCCACAGAACTACTAGAGTAGTTTGAAATTTCATTCTAAAAAAAGTAAACTTTTTCACTTTTTATCAATGTGTATTAATAATATTAGATTCAATTTGAAGATAGATGTTCTTATTTCTTGTTAGGTCATTTATCTTAATTGTCAATTCTTGACTGGATACAGTCTTGATATAATGCATAATCAGTTCATAGTAATTAACTATGTTTAAAGGGAATGTCTTCCCCTCCTGACAAATTGTTATTTGTAGAATCAATATATGAATCGTTAAAACTATAAAATTTATTTCATTGATATATTAATAATTTAAATATGTTGAAAGTTTGTTTTTTTTTTTTTTGTTTTTTTTATCTGTTGTTCTGCATATCGGGATCTGTTTGTTTTTTGTTTTTTTGTTTTTTTCAAATTTTCAAGCCTTTCCATTTATTAAGTATCTAAGTAATAAAATGTGAGTAATAATAATTATTACAATAATATGTATTGCAAATACAAATTAAAATGTGTAATCAGTAATAAAATTGATAATATTATCTCATCATTTGTGTATGGGCATGTGGCTGAGTGGTTAGGATATTCACATTTTGATCATGAGTGCCGGGTTCAAATCTCACCAGGGTCAATTTGTCAGCAAGGGGACTTCCTGATGTTATCAGACTGGAGAGGTTGATCCCAATATGCAGCACCTTTGGAAAGTGCCTGAAAACCACCACTTCTGGGTAGATGGAACGGGGAGGGGTCGATAGCTGTGATAGCACAAAATCACAAGTCATTGTGGCTGAGGGCTTGAGCATGCTGGCCTTGTTCGAATTGTTGATCATGCTATATAACATGCTCTTTCCCAGAAACTCTAACTAAGGTCTACTCAGCATTAAGATTAATTGTAATATTATGTGTACTAATTTTGACCTATTACTTATAAAATCTGTAATCAAATAAATTAAATGTAGATTCTGCTATATTTTGCAGAAGAATTAGTTTAACTGTAGATAATAAATTAAACTGTTCAAAAATATAAAGACAAATTAATTTGTCAAAAAAATTTAATATTTCTTATTATTTCAATAATTTTTTAGACTAACATCCTTATGTTTGTTGTTTTTATCACTATACACTAGCCAGTTCATCCTTTGGCTTTCCTCCATTGTATGTCACTTTTAATAATCCTTGAATTGATTCTCTTATCAAAATTCTTGAAAATTTTCAACCCAACTTGACCAGTTAGAATAACAGATGTTGATAAACTGTTATGTTCTTAAAATAGGGGATGAGGAAGCAAATAAAAAAGACTTTATTCATTACCAAAAATGATATACTTTTAATTAACATCTGCACATTTGCCAAATTCAATTCAGCCATGATATTATTTTTATTTTTTTTATAGATTTTTTCTCCCACATATTTCTTGATGAGGCAGCTCAGGTTATGGAAACAGAAAGTCTTATACCTTTGGGTTTAGCTGGAGTTAATACAAAAGTTGTATTAGCAGGAGATCACATGCAAGTAAGTAAGAATTTAAGTCTTTACTTATTTATTTATTATGCTTAGTCAATATTATTTTGTAACTGAAAGGCTAGAGAGCCTAGTCTACCCTACTATTTAACTCTTAGTTGCAGTGGAGGTAGGAGAAATTAATTTATACTTTTCCTAAGAGTATTTAAAAACATTTCAAAGAATCTACACACTCAGTCATCATGAATGTGACGTTCATACACTACATGTACACATTCACTGAGGTACTGCTGATTGAGTAACATCATGGGAGAGTAAATTTTTTTTTTTTTATATGTGCAATAAGGTCTCATCATTAAGTTGATTACAAAGGTCACAGTTTTTGAAATATTCAAGATGTCTGATATGTATCTAGCCAGATTATTAAATTTGTATCTTTGTTTTTTATACATTTTAGTCTTAAGTTTTTGCACTTCTTCAGCTTTTCATTGCATTTCCTAAAGATCGTTTTGGCCAACATGTATATGCATTTAGAAAGATTTCTTTATTACATCTTTTTAAATATTTCTCTACTAATTCACACTTCATTAAATAAACATTCAAATGTTAATCAAATATTGATTACTTAGAAGTATCAGTTCATCCCATAAGTTCTGTCCGAATTTTGAATAAAGAAAACAAGTGACCAAATGTTACATTTAATTACAGATTCAATCAACAATGTATTTTCCCTGATTATCTATGACTTTCTTCCATCTATTAACAAGCTTACTAATTCCATTACTGTAAAATTCTTTTAGCTTTGATTCGAAGAACTCAAAAATGTCAGTTTTAACCTCTTCCTGTGTTACAAAAGCTGTTTCTTCCAAATGATTCTGTAAGCTATGAAACAAATGGTAGTCTGAAGAAGCAAGATCGGAGAATAAGGTGGATGAGGAATTTTCTCCCAACCAAGTTCTTGATCTTTTGTGACGTGATTCTTGTTGTGTGGGTCGCAGCATTGTCCTGATGAAACATCACCCTTTTCGATTCACTAGAGCAGGTCTTTTTTCCTCAAAGCTTGGTTGAAATGCTCTAATTGCTGATAGTATATTTGAGCATTAATTGTTGCATTAGGTGGTAAGAATTCAAAGTGGATTATTCCTTGGCAATCCCACCAGATTGAATGAAGAACCTTTTGCCCATGAAATTCCCTTCTCAGCTGTGGCTGGAGTCCTTCCCCTTTACCAAGCCACTGTCTACAATGCTTAACATTTCGATAAAAGATCTATTTTTCGTTGCCAGTCACAAGTCTATCCAAAAAAGGTGAAACAAGTTGAGAATGGAGAGAAGAGCAGATGTCAACTCGGGGTTTGAGGTTGTTTTCAGATAATTCATGAGGCACCCATTTTCCAAGTTTAGGAACTTTTCCAAGTTGTTGAAGATGACAATGAACAGTTGTATGGTTTGAACTGAGAACCACTGCCAATTCGTCAACTGATAAAGCAGGATATTCTTCACGGGCTGCTTCAAGAAGCGTTTCATCAAACTCAACTGGACGTCCGGTTCGATCTTCATCTTCAAGGGTGAAATCTCCACCTCTGAATTTTGCAGACCATCTTCTGCAAGTTCTTTCATTCACAGATTCCTCTCCATAAACCGAGTGAATGCTTCTAGCCGCTTCGGCTACTGAGTTTCCTTTCTTGAACTCATAAAGCATTATGTGCCTCAAATGATTCTTGGGTACTTCCATGTTAGCAGGGTTTTAATCAAACAAAATTTAATTTTATTGTTCTCTGAAATAAAATTTGATCAGTTTAAATGCATCTAAACATAAAAATAATGTTCAGCTCCATTAGACATTATAAAATACTCTTTAAATTTCGTTCATTTTAACAAAAAGTTAAAATTCGGACAGAACTTATGGGATGACCTGATATGTTCTTCAAAAATTACCTTCGTCTTCAACTTCAAGCTACAGAAGTTGTTTCATATTTAGTCACACACACCTCCCCTTTTTTTTTCTTTTTTTTTTTAAATATTCAAACATTTTTACATTTTCTCTTCTTTTTCTAGATGAGTCCAGAAATTTATGCTGATTTTGCTCGTCAGAGAAATTTTCATCGATCCTTATTGGAACGACTTTATGAAGAATATCCTGTGGAATCACCATGTCGGATAATGCTTCATGAGAATTACCGTTCTACAAAAGAGTTGGTTAAATACACATCCAGCCTTTTCTATGATAACAAACTTATAGCAGCTGGACAGGAATGCCGCCACCCAACCTACTGGCCATTTACTTTCTTCACTGCCAAAGGTGAAGAAGTACAACATCAGAACAGCACTGGATTTTATAATATTGCAGAGGTGAGTGTTTCTTAGGTGTCTTGGTTTTACGCAAGGTTCAAAAGTATATTTGTCTTGAGATATACCAAGTGTAACAGCAAATTTGTCCAAACCATGTTACAGCATAGTTGTCCATCGTGCAAAAGGTTTAATATCTAAAAAATCATTTTGTGTAAGCCCTACTGTCTTCTCAACTGAGCAATGGTGAGAGGAAAAAATCATTTAGGCCTTCAGTAATGGTACCAACATTCATACTTTTGCTTCCATCTTCAAAGTCCGTTCAAGAACCATCAAGTGAATGGTGAATAAGTTTGAAAAAGACGGAACATTAGAAAGGAAAACTGGATCAGAAGGTCACAACAGGAAGAGGGATCATCATTTCAACTAAAGAGTCCAATTAGAAAAGATCCAACTCAAGAGAGGAGTTTCAGCTATGACAGTCCAAAGAGCAGTGAAAAAAGACTTGAAAATGAAATCATAGAGGAAACTTGTGAGGCACCATGTTACTTCAGGACAGAAGGTTAGAGAGGGCGAAGATCATCTTGAATAACTTGAAAAAAAAAATATATATATATATATATATATATTCAAACTTTATTTCAATCTTTCATGAGCTGTCAATCCTTTACTATGATTAATTAATGATGAACATGTCATTTTCATTTATGATTGAATTCGTCACGATTCTTCTGTTAAATTTGGAGAGTAATCATACATTCTTATTGCTCAAAGTAGTCCAATAGTGTTATAAAAACCTTGGAGAATTCCAGTAAGATATCTTTAATCATTTCTAAGATACAACGGTTCAAAGCTTAATCTAACGATTGGACAATTTTGCTGTTACGCTCAGTACATATATCTTATTGCTTAAAAATAAGTGGAAGGCAAAAGTGATTCTAGTAGATATTGGTGATTTTTGCAAGATGTGTTTAGGTCTCCAAATGGTCTGTTTCAGAATGATGCATCAAAAGTACTCTCTTTAATCATATCCAGAAAGGAATTCTTTTAACCAGTTTCTTCTAGTTTGTTTGTTTTCCAAATGGTTTGTTTCAAAACAGTGCTTGTCTGTGGCATGATATTAAACTGCATTCACACCCTGGGCATAAAGTTAAACTGCAATCATGGGTTATTTGGGTTTTTTTTCACAAAACAAGTTCACCTATGCCCTATTAAACTACAACCAGGCATAGTATAGGAAGCAAAATGGATTAGAAACTAATTATTTGTATGAGGAAAACTTCACCTACATAACGTCAGTTTATAAAATAAGTCTACAGCTATCTGTTTATCCTTAGGATGGTACCTTCAGGAAAAATAATATAATTTTGCCATACAAAAAAAAAAAAAATTTAGATACTTTTTAAGCTACCAACAAAAATCATAATCCACAAAATATCTGTTCACTCAAAATGCTATTTCTAAACTACCTATCTATACAAAAATACCTATAAAATTGCAATATATAAAGCTCACATTCCAGGCAGAGCCTTGACTGGAATCCACAAGGGAAGCGAAAAGTGGGTCAACCAAAACAGATTTGGTGCAGAAGTGTTGACACAGAGGTAAAGGCAGCTGGCACGACATGGGCCGAGCTGAAGAGGATTGCCTGGAACCACGTCTGTTGGAGAGGTGTTGTTGCGACCATATGTTCCCCAAGGAATCAAAAAGCGTTAAAAAAAAAAAAAAAAAAAGCATACATTTATGAAAAACAATTCCCAAAAACTCAATATGGCCACCTGTTTGCCATGGTGGTGACCAGTGATGTCCAGGGATGGAGTCCTGGTGATTGAGTGACTTCTGACCTGGTATAAAATGACCAGGAGTTTATACAACATGCCACTTTGCTTCCAACTTGGGATAAACGGGTGGATGGAATAGTCCAATTCAATCCAATTGGCTAGTGTTGAGATGTTGTGAGTTTCCCGGGTGTCGGTGTATGAATCAAGACAAACACAGTTGTAGAGGAAAATACTGGTATATTCATAAAAGCAATTAACAATAGAGTGATTAGTAGAACGAAGGTTGGTTAAAATAAAACAATATCCAAAGTCTATAGTCCAACGGTATGTACCGGGTAAGCTTATCTGGACTGCTCACGCTGACTCTCTCTCTGACGCTCTGTCACTCTCTCTCCAGAGCTGACTTATATAAGAGGGACCAGTCCATTACTAGTTAGAAGGTGGGTGTGCCCCAACAGCTAGTCACATAATGACAAGGGCTAGTTGGGATGAAATAGAATAGTTACAACATGGCTGGAAATCCTTATACCATACTACACTTGGGTAGATATGGTGGGGGAATGTGGGTGCTCATGGCCACTTTCAGCACAACTATACTCTGTAGACCTGATTGATCCTTTTTGATAGCATCTCTTAAAGAGTTGGCTGGGAAGCACAGACAGTGAATACAAAAACAAAATTATATCACTAACTCTTATAAACAATCCAAGAGACAGTATGAAAACTCTGAAATGGAAATTGACAATGAATTATTAGGAAAAACAATTTCCAATTTTCATAGTCATAGAATCTTTAGAGGGTGAAATAACAAAAGTGTCACCTTTCATGTTACAAATGGTTATATCAGCCATGATAGAACCATAATCAGTTAAAAAAAATAAAATAAAGGAAAATAACACAATTCTAAGTAAAAACAAAAAAATATGCAGAAAACCTACTAAAAATCAATCAAAGGCCTGAAAGTAAAGGCTCCCCCCCCATTTCTTAATTCATCTAAGGGAGTAATAAAATATACAATAAAATACAATATTACCTAAAACTCAAATCCTGCCCAAATAACCCTGCTTACCACTGTATCTTTAACCCTAAATACAAAAACCTATTTGATATAAAAGAAAATGCTATCAAACTTTTTGGCCTTTACATGAAAAATCTCATCAGCAAAACTCAAATAAATCCAATATTAATACTTCAAAAAATTCATGCTGGTTAATGAAACCCCCTACAATACTGCTAAACCTTAATAAATACCATAAAATAAATACTAACTTAGCTAATTACATGGAAGAAATTCATAATGTTCTACAAGCACATTGAAATTATAAAGACATATACACTGATGACTCTTGAACAGAGTTGGATACTCTGCTAAACTTAACAATCTTACAATACAGAAACAATTCCCTAACAAAGTCTCAACCTTCAGTGCAAAAACCTCAGCCATACATTTGGCTTTAGATATTATAGAATCCAGTGTGTCAGATAGATTCATCATCTATACTCACAGCTCTGAAGAATAAAAACATGGGAAATCACTTAATAAATTACTAAATAGGATTGACACTATTTATAGGAGAAAAGACACTGTAATAGTCTTATACTGTATACCAATCCATATTGGTATACAAGGAAATGGAAAAGCTGACAAAATGACAAAGGACTCACTTGTAAAGATTCCACACACTGACTTCTTACCCACCATAAACAAGACCATTAATGAAAAATGGCAGCAATTATGGAAAGACTGTCAAAACAACAAATTACACAACATCCAACCAATGATCAGTGAAAAACATCAAAGTTCCAGAAAGATAAGGAGAGAGAGGAAATGGTTCTAGTCAGACTCCATATAAGACGCACATATATAACCCACCAACATCTAAAAAATGAGGAACTACCAATATGTGTCCCATGCCAGGAACCAGACACTGTTAAAGATATACTACTAAATTCCTATAACTTTCAGCAAACTCAAAACAAATACTACAAGTTGAATAACTCTAAGGACCTATTTAAAAATACTGATCCAAATAACATTATAAATTTTATTAAAGAGATTAGGCTCCACAGGAAAATGTAAAAAAAAAAAAATCTCTTTACAAACCTGCTTACCTATATTATATAAAATTTGTTGCGAAACAATATACAATCCCCCCACCCCCTGCGCAAAAAAAATAACTGAAAAGAATTTTTCCCCTATATAATCCCCTGCTCCCAAAAGAAAATAACTCTAATTATTCACCTGAAAACCCTTTTCAGCATTAAATGATCCACCTGGGTTGATGTGCCTTAAAAACTAATCAATCAATCAATAAGAACAGCGTATCAAATTTGTTTCAAAGGTGGGGTCTTTTAATCATATTTAGAAAAGAATTCTTTTAACCAGTTTCTTCGAGTTTGTTTGTGCCTCGTGATAGCTTTGGTACTGCTGCTCTTTCAAACATTGAGCCTTCAGTTATCGGTCCATAATACAGGTGTATTCAACATTCACTAATAGTAGCGTTACTAACTGCCCCCACCAAAGTTACCTGCAATTTAAATGCTGACAATGCTAAAGAAGCATTTTCTTCTTTTCCTTTTGATGCAGGTAAGTTGCTAAAAGCATTGGCTAGGGTTGGGGGAAAGGCTTAATTTTGTCTTTCCATAGAAGTGAAAGAAAAATTATGTGGTTAATTAGAAATATCAAATCCTTAACTGACATTGTGTATAAAAAAAGATATGCCTTTTGAATAAATGTTTTCTTTTGCCTTCACAGATAATATTTGCTTGGTTTTGTCTCATTGCAAATCTCATCTTCAATTGTTTATCCTTAGGTTTATGAAGTAACAGAAAGAGTTGTGGAATTGGTAAAGAATTGGCCAAGTGAATGGGAACCATTTAATGAGAATAGTATCGGAGTGGTTACACCTTATGGTGACCAGGTGAGTCTTTTAGTAATTTTTTTTTTTTTTTTTTTTTACTATCAGTCTGTGTCTATATACAGGGTAACCATGAAGTCCAGATATGTGAATTTGGACGAAAACAGCCACTTCATAGAGGACCATATGTTGTTTAGCAACGAAGCCTTGTTTTATGTGAATAGTAAGGTTATCTTGTGATGTCAATGAACACTCGTTGCCACTTTTGTAATGTCAACAAATACTTGTTGTCAATTTTGTAATGCTCGTTGTAGTAGAGACTTTGTAATTGCAGATACAACTATAGTAACGCTGTTGAACAATTCTAGTGTCAGATGCCTTTGAATAACACTTGCACTAATAGTACTTGCTCTATAATACTCGCTCAAAAAGTAACCACCAAATAGTGATCCGTATAGTGATTACTTAAATGTCATGCTAATTCCCACATATACCTTCTTTTTTTTTACCATCACATGATCTACTTATTCAAAATGGGATCACATGTGTTTGCTCTCTGGTGATCTGTGTTCAAACTCCAGTGTTGGCAGCAACACTTTATTCCTATATAACAGGTTAACTGAGAGAATGACCAGTACTAGTTGCGAAACAATACACATTGGCTGGATTGTTCCAGATAGCAAGGAACACAATGGATTATGGTGTGTATTGTACAAAGCTCATGTGTTGGGACCATTTTTCTTTGATGGTAACATAACTGGTGAGACATACCGCATCATGTTGAGAGATCAGTTAATGCCCCAAATTGAAAGGTTAGAAGATCTCCCTGGGTAGTTACAACAGGATGGAGTCCCTGTCCATTATGCTATAGAACTGGATAAATGACAATTTTCCTAACTGGATTGGGAGTACGTGGCAATGTGGAATGAGTTCCTCACCAGATATTAACCTCCTTGACTTCTTTTCTGGGGTATGCTGAAAGAGAATATGTACAAGTGTACAGTTACCCTGTATAATGTATGTATTTTTTATTTTAATTAATATTTTTTTTTTTTTTTTTTTATATAATCATCTTCATTCTTTTTGGTTTTCATTGTGACTCAATTTTTAGACTTCTGTCTTTTTTATAAAATGCTTATCAAAGGAGAAAAAGTAAAATTAAAATAATGGCTGTAGGCATTGTTTGCAGAAATTATTTTATTTGAATTTTTTTTCACTTTGTTGTAAATTTGAAGAGGATAGCATTGCACATGCAAATGTTCCTGTTTTGTAACTCAGCTTACAGCCATATCATGTTGAAATACTGGTTCCTTTACAATCACCAAAGTTAAGCAATATCAAGCCTGGTCCATACCTAGGTGTCTGTATGAGAATACCATATGCTGTAAGCTTGGATGTGCAGGTGGTGTAATGGATAATGGCTTCGAATTATTAAGCAGTGGGCCAAGTTCTAATTTCATTTGGGTCCATTATATTCACTTACCCTTGAGAAAATCCACCTCTTTTTTTCCTCAGCTATAGGTTAATTAGTAAGACTTGTATCACTAAATCATTATCTCCCAAAAACATTCTTAGAATCTAAAAGTATTTTCAGGCTTTAAATAACCTACAAAGTAGAACAAGAATCAATAAAGAAAAAAATGTTTTGTAACTTAAAATAAGACATCACATTTGCACAAGATTATAGAATGCATAGATAATTTATTAATTAATTGATGTTGCTTTGCTCATTAATTTCTTAATGAAACCCAAACAATTTGAGTGGCTTTCTCAACATTATAAAATGAATTTCTGATGATATATTAAAGTTGTTTATGGAAATCAGATTTACTATTGTTTAATTTAATGTAAAAGATGTGAGGTAATGTAAAGGTTCTACTATTAATGTTTATTTTTATAATAAAATCATGAGTTCACCTTTCTCTACACTTTATCCCATCACCTCTTATCTAAATATGTCTCGTCACTAGTTTGTCATTATGACTGTTTAGTTTCTGAAAAGCATCCTATACACCTTCAGATTTATTTCGGAGTTGCACTTTCTCCTTGTTATTCTACTTTTGTACATTCATTTAACTCATTTGCTATCTGCATGCAAGTTATTTGTTTTCAATACAGGTTACAGATTATTTGAATATCTTCTCCATGTAGATCAAGCTTTCCTAAAAGTTCAAGGAGTTCTTTGTGTAATACTTTAATGAATGTTTTCATGTAAAACAATGTAATATAAGTATAGAATTTCCTGTGCTACTGTTACTTATTTGTGAGTTGGGAATTGCTATGATTTCCTGTTGCCCATTTTAAAGTAATTTTTATCAAGACCACCACCTTTGGTTGACTCCACGCTTCAAGAAGTTTTATTTTTCTTCAAACTTAGTTGCTAACCATCCTGCTCTTCTTAACTGATATGCCATTAAAAATCTACTTAAAAACCCTCCTCATCCACATGAAGCAGGAAGTCAGCAGTTTATTCGCTGACAATCTGATAAAAATTAGGTTTTGATTTAACTCTCGGGACAAAGATACAGACTTTTTATTTATTTATTTTTAAATTTTATCCAAGACTGTGGCAACTCTTCTTAGGATATACATGGATCACTCCATAAGTCAGAAATAGTAATAGTTTTAAGATGGAGGTGTGGATTAAGGATTTATGTGATTTTTTTTTTTTGTCTAGCAAGGCACAGAGAATGGCAGTAAGATTCCAAACATGTAGATTTTCTGTTTGCCTTCATTTAGGTCGATGGCTCAGTTGACTCTACAGGTCTACCATCTACTTCAAAGGAATTTTTTTTTTTTTTTTCAATATGACTGACCTAGATAAATTGAGATTTTCAGTTTATTTGCAAGAATTTAATGTATATATTTGTGTATAGGTCACACCCTTAGCTTTGGGTTGTCAAAGTGTGTATTTGTGGTTGACTCGCAGATAGGTCACACTATAATCTGGGGAGTTACATGACCCTTTTTAAACATAAATATAACTAATATTTGTTAAATATTTTCAAATATTAACCTTTATTTCAAAATTTTGTTTACATATATCATGAGCTTTTAATCAACCCATATTTATTCATAAATCTGGTCCACCACCCTGCTGAGGATTTAAATTATATAAGATGGTACTATGGAGGCAAGCTGAAGGGCTTTGGTTCTTATTGAACGTCTGGTGATAGTTAAACAATTATTTCTGAGATTTATGACCCAATCACAGAATTCTTTTTCAAGATTTTCATGCAGTGATACTGTAAACCTTGCTACTCTCTTCAGTTTTGGTATTTCTTTAAGCTGATCCATTTGCTTCTTCCAGCCTCTCACCATCTTTTCTGAAATTCCAAACTCTCTTTCTGCAAATCTGTTTCCATGTTCTTCTGCGTAATCCACCCACTTTCAACTTAAAACCTACTTCATAATTCTTTCTCTTACTCATGATTAGGGGTTTCAATTATTAAAACTTGTAAACTACTGGTACCAGTAAAATTTGGTGGGGGGTCGAATTTTTGTAAACCAGTAAATGACTACTTCTCACTGAATAACTGTAAGCAAAATTCAGATTAGTTGTAAATGCATGATATTTACTTATCAAGTGCAGGGCTGCTCTGTTTAGGTGAAAATTTGGATACCGGTAATCACTTTAGTCCCCAAATCACTTGAAAATGATAGTCTTTCATCGTAAATTAAAGAATTTTATTCTAATTCCATAGATGGAAAAATAGAAATTCTGTTGCAAGAGTTGAGCTTTTTACCTTAAAATCAATTTTATAGTATGCAATGTCATTTTCTGCTTGGCTTAGTTTGACTAAAATGAAGTAACAGTATACACTTTCTTTTTTCATCTCTATAATATTTAAACTACCAATCATTTTACAACTAATGTTACCATCTCTAATTTTCATTCCTACACACCTACTTGTATTTGTTTAAAAAAAAAAAAAAATAATAATAATGAATTATTTTCATTTCAGGTGCAAAGGATTCGAGCTGAATTGAGAAAACGTGATTTGGGTGGCGTGTCCGTCGAACGAGTTGTAAATGTACAAGGTAAAAAACTTTCTTTTATAAAACATTACTTCTGTATAGAGAATTTTCTACTGCTAGCTTTTTGTCGAGTGATCCAAACAGTACAAGAACAACATTTGTCAGCATTAATTGCTTCCAGTGTTCATTTTTGCAAAATGGCCTTTGGAATCCCTTCCTTCCTCTTCTATCATCATCATCCCCTTGACTTTTGTAATCATAGGGGTGATCCAAATGCAGAAGCCACATTAAATCTCATCCACAATGGTCTATCAACAGCAGCCATCAGCAATTCTGGTCTAGTCATACTTGTCCGTTGTTTGACATTGTCCAATCAGATTTTGTGTTGACATCTTCTCCTATGTCTACCTTCAATGGTGCCTTTCATGATGGCCTTGCATAGGCTATTCATCCTGTGTATGACGATAAACTACATCCACGTCCAGGGTAAGACAATAAACTATGTCCAACAGCAAGGCCTCTGATCAGGAGGCTTTGAGGAGCGTGGAACCACCTCTTAATTGCTGATGTTCCCAGGACCACCCTGACTGGGGGTGTTAGCACCTGTCAGGGTCCCAGCTATGGGCTAATAATTAACCCCCAAACTGGGGTCAAAATACTATGAAAGTGTAAAAATAGGTTTTAATACCAGAAATACTTTGTAAAAAAAATTATTACCAGAAGTAAATTTAAAAAAAAAAAAAAAAAATTACCAGTAATATGTTTTGGAAAAAAAAAATACTACCAGAAATAGATTTTTGACAAAACAAAATATTACCAGGAAAAAAAAGTTGTCAGCATTAAATGACTCATTGAGGTTGATATGCCGTAAAACAAATCAAACCAAACTTGCACAGGCTATCAGGCCTTATAATGTGTTCAAACCACACTATTTTTCTCCATTTGACATTGGTGAGAAGTTTCCTGGTGATCCCCAAAACTTTCAACCCTTTTCTGCACAAACTCATTGGTTTTTTGTTCCCAATATTAAACGCCAACGAGTTTTCTCAAATGCTTGGATCCTTCTCTCTATATCTGCCAACAGTGATCCTTATTTCAAATCCATATAGGAGAATGGAGACTACCAGTGATTTGTACAGTCTGTACTTTGTTTGAAAGTTGATTTTGCTCCTCCATATTCTTGCCAAATTGTCCATCGCTGCCATGGCTGCGGCAATCCATATGCAGATTTCCAAGTTGCAGGTACCATCTTTAGACAAGATTGCTCCTAAGTATTTAAAACTGGACACTTTCTCCAGTGAATTCCTGTTCATGGTAACATTGGTGTTGGTGTTATTCACCATTAATTTGGATTTCTCGGAGCTGACCTCCATTCCATATGCTCCTACTCTTTCAACAAGTTTCAATAAGTTCTCCTTCCAACTGTGGCTTAAATAGTAAGGTAGACTCTACTCTGTAACCTTAAGTGGTAACCAATTTAAGAGAAGAAAAACTTTGGATTCTAATCTCCAATCTGCAGATAAATCAATGGGAAACCAATCAACTATTTTTCCCAAGAATACTTGGTAATTCACAGAAAATGATTAAAAATCTGCGAAGGGTCATGATCACATACAACCTGAAGGAACATGGTATTAGGAAAAGTCATAATAATAAGATCTGAATAAGTTTTATGAAGTCTAGTAAGTTACAAGAACTTATTGGCACATGGTTAGAACATTCACTTTCTGACCATGAGACCCAGGTTTGAATTGATTTGTCAAGAAGGTGAATTCTTGACATTATCGGTCTGGAGGAGGTGATCCCAGTGTGCAGCACCTTTGGAAAGTGCCTGAAAACCATACCTCGGGTTGACCCAAGACTTGTGAGTGAAATTGGTAGACAGAACTCTTAGGGAGCCATTGCTGGTTGTGCTAGCATGAAGTCACTATGAAAGTGTAAAAATGGGTTTTAATACCAGAAGTACTTTGTAAAAAAAATTATTACCAGCAATACATTTTTGAAAAAAAAATATTACCAGCTATAAATTTTTGAGGAAAAAATATTATCAGCAATACTTTTTTGAAGGAAAAATATTACCAAAATAGATTTTTGACAAAACAAAATATTACCAGGAATAAAAATTTTGTTGGTATTAAATAACCCATTCAAGTTGATATGCCATGAAACAAACCAAACCACATTTGGTCTGGTGCTCCTGCTATTTATTTAGAGATTCTTGATAAAATCCGAAGGGGAATATTATTGGCCCTGATCTGGTGGCTCGTCTTCAGTCACTTTTCCACCAGCATAAAGTTGCTTCTTTGTACCTTTTCTTGAAAATATTTAAGGGAGTGTCAAAGATCTAGAGGCATTCACAGATAGAACTTATGTTGATATACTTCAAGCCATGGCTATACTCAAGAACAAGAGAGCTATCATCATATATATTATTTTTTTTAATGAACTGAGAGATTTATGATTCTGCTGTTCACCTTTGTACAGTTCTCATATAATTATGGCTAACGATTTAAAATCATTGCATTTCTAATGCCTTCAGTGATACAGAAGAATTTTGAAGGTAAACACTTGATATTTATTTTAGGTAACTGACTTTTAAAAGAATATTTATTTTGTCTTTAGGCAAACAGTTCCGTGTAATCGTTTTGAGTACAGTTCGTACTCGACATACATGCAGCACTGAAGGACACATGGACATGATGGATTATGGTTTTTTGTCCAATGTTAAACTATTGAACACTGCCATCACTCGGGCTCAATCTTTGGTGGCTGTTATTGGTGACCCTGTGTCTCTTTGTCTTGTGGGAAAATGCAGGTAAGTACAACTTATCTATATCTATCTTTAAAATTAATTACTTATGTAAAAGAAATGAAATACAATTTTCCTAACTCAAGAGAAGACTAGAATGCTCAAAAATTAACGGCATGTCTAGAAAACTGGAAGTCAAATAGTAACAATTGAAAGAAAAGAGGAATAAGGGATAAGCTTAAGGAGCTAATATAAAGTGAAGAAAAGAAATTCCAAAAAGGATAAATAACCATCAGATTCTACACATATGCACGTGCGCGCGCACACATACACATACTCTGAGAAAAAAAACTTTCACAAATAAAATAAAAAGTACATATAAAAAATGAAAAAAATTGATGTATAAGCAGTTGATGCTGATACCCCCTAATGAGTGTACGGAGTATTCTTGGTGGGTCCATCTACAAAACTCTGGAGTCAAGATGCTGAAGGTAACATCAATCAGCTAAGTCTAAGTGACAAACTTTTTACTTGTATTATATATATATATATATATATATATATATATATATATATATATATATATATATATATATATATATATTTCTTAATAATATATATATATATATATATATATTTCTTAATATATATATATATATATATATATATTCCCAAGAGGATAGAATCCAGGTAGAACTCAATGTCTAGGATGGAGTAAGAATATAAAAGGCTCAAACACTAATATTCCATGGTTATAATTTATTACATTGGAATCGTAATCACGATCCAATTCATCAGACCTGTGACACCCACCGGCGGTCGCAGCACCAGCGCCAATATGGGACGTCCACTGGTTGCGACGTCATTATATGACACAGCGCCCTCGGCCTGTGGTCAACTCCCAGTTGCAGCACAAAGCTGTAAGGTTTCTTCCACTAGCATTTGGGGTTGACTCGTTGTCACCGCCACCAGCCTGTGTCCCGGTCGATCTGGTCATTTCTGGTTTGATACCAGCTTTGTCGTTCTCAGCTCGCCTCCAATGCCTGGTCACCAAAGTAACTGCTTTGATCTCAAGTCTAACCTACCCACATTGTGACTTTGATCTTAAGTTAACAAAATTAATCAGGTGTCTGGCCGTAGTGCAAGCTAAATCCAGGGTAAAGGTGATACCGCACAAGCGTAAGTAAAAGAAAATAATAAAACAAATTCACAAGGTTCAAATATGTTGAGAAATAACAATTAACTTTATCTATCTGTTGAATACAGGAGTGTGTTTCTCTCCTGGCCCATTTCTATGGATTTGTGACACTTTTTGTGTTTCTTAGGCAAGTTATGGTATCTTAAGTCAGTTGTCAATAAAAACTTGCTTTTGGTAGAAAGACTAAGTCAAAAAGGACATGGAAATCTCGGTCAGCTTCTATGAAGCGCTATTCTCCCAAGCCCAACAGCTCTCTGTCGATCTGCGTCTCTGATCTCAAACCCAACTCAACTCAACTCAACTCCGAACGTCTGAGGACATTCGTTTATATGGACACCGACCAAAATCGTGTTGGGCCTGTCGTGGTTTGGGTTCTTTGACAATTCTTAATTCCCAACAAAAATCTTCTTTGTTTCCAAGACAGGAAAATTTATTACTTCCCATTTTTAGAAGCTAATCACTTTCCCTTTCGGGCTTTTTCTCCCTTGTCCATAAGGAGAGGTCGGAGGAGAATTATCCTTCTAGACTCTTCCTTTCTCATATTGGTATCTCATACCAATCCTCATAGTGGGTGTCAACAACTTCCCCGCCTTTCTCATACATTCACTTTCGCCTATCACTCACGCCGCCACTCAGCCAATGATCGCTTGGCAGCGTGGGTGTGGCTAAACTTAGCCTTCTTAAAATTATCGTCCCGAAAAAAAAAAAAAATTCCCTTTTCTTTCCTTCTTTTCTATCGGCCAGAATTCTTATGAATTCCATGTGGCCATAATTAAATTCTTATTGTATCCTGAGCCACTCAAAATCCACTTAGCAGAATCTCCACTGATTCATTAATCACTGCTAGTCAACCTTCAAACTGGGTGGTAGTTTTCACTTGATAAACAAATTCTTTATTTTTCTTGTGTCTTAAAATTTTTGTGTCATCAGATGCTCATTTTCAAGTCACCATGTCTGACAATAACAATGATCCCCTTCTCGACTCTTTTCTCATGTCAAGATCTGGACATACAACAGATGGGTCTCCTCACTGGACACAAGAACCAAAACTAAATGATATCTCTGAAAGATAATTAGTGGCTATTCTCACTGAAATTCCTTTTTGGTCGCATGCGTGGCCCAGCTTTGTTTATCTTTTAGAATTCTGTTTTCCTTGTTGCGTCACTATCTGATCATGACATTAATTAATTCTGACAGAATCCGAAATCTGGTTTTCTCTTACAGATTTTCTGTCTTCTGCGAAAAGGTATCTTTCCTCGTAAATGAAATAAAATCTTTTCCCGTTCATTTTTTTTTTTTTTTTTTGTTAAAAAAAATGTCACTCAGTCTGTCTTTCATTATAGCTCTTTCTTGCCTTAAGTATTTTTCATTTTAATTTTTATGTTTAATTAGCCAATTACCATAGCTAAATGGTGTCACAGACCTACAAATTCAAAAAGCTTTTTGAATTTGTAGCTCTGATTGGATTGTGATTACGATTCCAATGTAATAAATTATAACCATGGAATATTAGTGTTTGAGCCTTTTATAATATATATAATATATATAGTGTGTGTGTGTGTATATATATATATATATATATATATATATATATACACACACACACTAATGGATATGCAAATATGGGAATGGCAAGTGGGGTTCAAATACTGCCCAAGTCCACTGTGTTCATAGCATTAAGTCAAATCTTCACTTCTCTAAAAAAAAATGCAAACATAAAAAATTTTTTAAGGTAAATAACTTCTATATCTGGATGGTACTTTTTTTTTTTAAGCCTGTAATCCACTAGTGTCTAAGGAGCACTACATTTTCTGCAACGGCAGTAGCAGTGGTATTTCCCATGCAAGATAGCCTGTCAGAGCCAAACCCTCTCCTACCTGGTTTTGGATTCAGTTTTTCCTTCTTCTAGACCGGTTGCCACCCAAGGCTATAGAATGCAGTCTGATTTGCTATTTACCGATTGGTGGGATAGGGTGGATAGAGGAGATGAATTCATACATATCCCAAAGTCATTAGTGCATAAGTGAATATACTTGACCAGAAATCAAATTTGGCTCTCCAGTTCTTTCTCAATCCAAGTTGCTATCCATTGCTCCACCATGCTTTCCTTTAAATTATAAGTCACTTAAAAATGAATGATTAAAAATAAGTCAGGGTTATTTAATGATGAAATCAGTTAAAATCAGGAAACTGATTGTCTTTTTGTCAGGCTAGGAAAATAAAATAATCATAAATATTAAATAAAATTAGTAATCTATATAATACTAAAACTCTAATCTTGTATGCTTCCAAGATACAGCTTAAACAATACATAATACCCCAACCAATTTAGGAGCATATTATACCTTGAAATCCTGTTGTGTGCACTGCCAAATTTCATTAAAATTAGACAGAAGGTTCTTAAGCTAGGGCTGTTTTTCTGTTTTCACAGCATTTTTAATAGGAAATTCAGTATTTTTTTAATACATATTCATCAATACACATATTATATTCCAATTATTATGTATATGAAAAATAATAAACATTCATAAGACATAACAACATTATTAAATAAATCCAAATATACATGACACAACATATACAATTCACTACACTATATTAGAACTATTTTTTTTATAAACATGTTAGGCTCTTCACCTATGAAGTATTTGCCATTGTGGGTGTGTCATTGTAAAACCTCATCTGTATGGCTGAAAACATGTCACATGACTTGATGGTAAATATATAAATAGATGTCAGCTGGTTAATTATTTTGAAATAAATGTGAGTAATAAACAAGCAGGTATAATAAAAAAATATAATTATTTTGAAGAAATTACCTAGAAAAAAGAAATGAAACAAAATACATATCCATACTTTATTTCAATAAATATGTATCTCCCTAAGATGGTTGCATCTTTTTTTTTTTTTTTTTTTTTAAGTTTGGGGGGAGGGGGTGAAACCTTCACTTTTGAAAATGTCATAAATACTAAAATTGGTATAAATTATTACCTCAGCTACAATTACTTGACTGGAATGGCCTTTTAATGTGATATCAGTTTGTGATTACATTTTAAAAAAAGTAAATTTTTTCCTACAAGCCAGGAAAATATCTTCCCCTTCTGACAAAATTAAGTGTTATTCATGTAATTAATATATGAATTGTTAAAATTATTAAATATATTTCAATATCATATTAATAATTCTAATGTGTCAAAAGTTTTATCATTTTTTTTTCTGTTGTTGTGTATCAGGGACTTTCAATTTTTTTCACAAATTTTGAAAACATTTATTAATTTATTATTACATTTGATCAAATTAATATTGTATAATGTCAGTAATAATAATTATTACAATATCTTGTATTACAAATACAAGCTAAAATATGTGCAATTATTTATAAAATTTATAATATTGTTACTTCATCATTTGTGTTATCATGAACTGTTTCTAAAAGGAACCCAACAGGTTTATGGATTATCTGGTATGAATAAATAGTGAAGACTTTTTTCAAATATTTAGTTTATTTATGTATATATTTTGAATAGGAAAAATATTTAAATGTAATTTAAAAAAAAATAAAATTCATCATTCATATTATTGCATTCTGTCTTGCTAATGTAGATTTGAATAAAATCCGTTTTTCTGATGACGTTTGAACAGCAAAAAATGTCAAATTTCTGATTCCAATACAAACTTGGTCTATACTGGAGTTGAATAAGACTGACAAAGTTTTTCATCAGTTTAAATAGGCCTATTCCCCATATGAGGTAGTTTGGATTTTGTGTACTAATTATTTGCTCTGTATTAATAAATACATTGAGCTCTTTTTGGGCATCAGTTTTAATATTTTATATTATTAGGATCCACTTGGATTATATACCAATAGATTTATTACCTTTACTATATATATATATATATATATATATATATAATTATTTATTTTAAAAAATTTATAACATAAATATGTTATAAAATCACTACAAAAATAACCATTTTGTTTCAACACCCCCAGTGTCTTATCAAGTGATGATGTTTTTTTATATATATATATATATATATATATATATTTATGCACCTATGTATGAGATTTAAATATTTGTGAAATGAAAACTGATAAAGTAATTACATTGAATGAACTTTGTACAGTTTGTGCTCAAATATGACCCCAGAACGCAAAACTTTATTTGTAAATTGGAAAATCTACAATAAAAAAATTAAACAGCAAGCTTGTTTGGATGAATACTTGCTGTTTAAATATACTTTAATTATATAAAATATGCTTCTTTGTTGGATAAACACCAAAGTGTTGTTTCAACACCGTTTTAGTAAAAACTGAAAATAGACTTAAGAAGTTCGGTCATATATTAATTGCAAGAAGAGATTTGTAGATCATGGCATTTTCAATGAATCTTTGTGTGAAGATAATTTACTCATTCAGAAATTAAAACTGACTTGAAATTAGTATAAGCTTATTAAAAAGAATACAGTTGAAGTATTAAAAAAAGTCATATATATATATATATATATATATATATATATATATATATATATATATATATATATATATATATATAATATATAGTCTTAAGGTGTTCTATATTTATGGGATAAAGTGCTCAATATCAAGGTAGATATAAAAGTGAACATTGAAGTCAACACTTAGAGCGGCAGTTTGTTTCATGCTAGACGTAATCGCCAGGCTTGATGATTGCATCTAGCATGAAACAGACTGTCGCTCTAGGTGTTGACTTTAATGTTCACTTATATATATATATATATATTTAAATATTTTATTGTTGCAGTTTCTATAGCAATCCAGTTTTTTAAGTGAGTAGGTTGTTAGTGTACTGCACAACCCCCCCAACCTGGAGGATCAGGTTTTTAATTCAGAGTTGTCCTGACTTTATAAAGAAAATTGTTATTATTATTATTATGTGTCGGAGGAGTATGTGAGGCATTGGGGGTAAAAGTATGTAAAATCTAATATGCTTATCATGGCACCTAGTCTAATATGAGTATATTGGACAGGTGCATGATATGGTGACAGGTTTTGATAAAAGCACAGCATAACCTTTCAGGTAGGACCCAGTTAGAAATAACATCTGGTTGAATAACCCAGTCTGCTCAGACAATTTCTAATTGAAGGTGTTTCCAAACACCCAGTCATGACTCCCAACTTGCTTCAAAGTTAAAAAAAAAAAAAATAAAATAAAACTCAAAATATGGCATACACCTTTTTGATAATTTTTTTTTTTTTTTTTTTTTTTATTTTTCTGTTCTCGTTTTAGGAAAATTTGGGAACATCTTCTTGAAGCTGCAACAAAAAATGGTAGTTTGATTGGCATGACATGGACTCAACTGAGAGGTCAACTCGATGGTGCTGAAATCAAAAAGACGTATGTCCTCAATCCTCTAGCTCCAGAGTTCGTCCCAAGCCGTCAATTTCGTCCCCACATGATGGATGATGAGCACTTTGACTCCAATTTAATGAACCCCTATGGTCATGTGAAAGTTCCTGCATTACCCACTCTTCCATTCTATTCTCGATGTCCCTACCCTCTCTACCCACAGGTATCAAAGCAATTAACTTTTTATCTTCAACTTTCTTTTTTTTGCCCTTTTTTTTTTTTTCTTTTCTTTCCTTCTTTCACATCCAAGTTGAAACATTATAAACTTAAAAGGTTATTTTTTTACTTTTATTTTTCAGATGTGTCCACCTTATCTTCCATTTTATACTGGACCATACTATGGAATTTATGCCCCAGTCTATTCTGGTTCTCCACAAGGACCTGGCCCTGCTGGCCAATCTCCATCTGTTTCTGGACGCAGTACACCACCTGTTACCATGCCTCATAGACTTCACACTGCATCTCCATTACATGGACCACCATTACCCCAACAACCTCCACAGCAGCAGCAACAACAACAACAACAACAACAGCAGCAACAGCAGCAGCCGCATCAACAACAACAACAACAACCACTGCCACCACCACAACAACCACCACAGCAGCAGCAGCAGCAACAACAACAACAGCAACACCAACAACAACCACGCCTTCCTAAGGCAAAACCCCTCCCTAATACTGCCAACATTACAAATGCTACAGCCACAACAACTGCAATGGTATTACCTCAGGCTAATGCTGCACCATTAACAGATCCTGGTGCAATTGGGGAAGTTAAGAATGCTGAGCAAGCCAAAATTCTGGCCAAAACTGCCAAACTTACAAAGGGTCAACCAGTTATGTATATGCCTCCCAGTCCTTATAGTTCATTGCTACCTCTCTGCTTACCTTTCCAGCATGTCTATTCGCCGGAAGAGCATCGGATGCTGATGGTACCTCCAAGGTTTCCAAGTAGTCCCTACTTGGGTAGTCCTGCTTTTATGCCTTCATCAAAGTATTATGGCATGTCTCGCCCTTCACATTACCGTAATGGTACTTTCCCTGGTAACCGGGCTCCACCTAGCAGCCACATTGCACGAGTGGAAAGAACACCACCTTCAATAAGAGACCCACAGGTACCACCATCATCATCCCCCAGTTCAACGGCCACTGGTCAGGTAATCCAGCTGTTACCCAATGTGAAACATGTGCCATCATATTTGCTGACCAGCCACCAATTGGGTAGCTCGACTGAAAGTTCTCGCACAAACACTCCAATATCCACTAATATTTCGGAGGATTTGCCAGTGCACTTGAAGACGGAGTTACCAATTGATCATTTGATGGTTGATAGCAGATCAGCCACACCTGTGGAGCATTCTTGGTCCCAGGTGGGTAGGCACAAAAAACCACAAAATGGAGATTTGCACAGACATATTCTTAAAAAGAATGAGACCCATACGGAAGATCTAGTGAAGGGTTTTCCCCTCCGACAGATGATCAACATTGATAAATACAAAGGAAATGAGGGTCCATCCCTTTTTCATCCTGTTAGTAAATTTGGAGGACATGTGGTAGATGGTGACCACATTGTCAAGCCTTCACCAATGCGCACTGCCCAGACATTGGGCTGTCAATTTGGTCCCCCTCTTAATCAACCACCCCCTAATCTCAATCCACCTACTGGCATCAACCCAGCCCATGGCCTCAACCCAGCACATAACCTCAATGCAACCCCTGGCATCAACCCAGCCCATGGCCTCAACCCAGCTCATGGTCTCAGTGCAACCCCTGGCCTTAATCCAGCCCATGGCCTCAATGCAACCTCTGGCCTCAACCCAGTACATAGCCTTGGCTCATCCCCCGGCCTCAACCCAGCTCATAGCCTCAATACAAACCCTGGTCTCAACCCAGCTCATAACCTCAACCCAAACCCACTAATTCCTCCCACGCTGGGTCAACAACAACCACCTAACCATAATCCAACCCCTACCTCTCTCGGTCAGCCACTTCATAATCTGAATTCCACTCTCCAAACTTCAACTCATTTTGAGTGCATTTCTCCACTAACACCAAGTATGGGTTATAAGCCAGTGGCCGATGAACCGTTGAGGAAAAAGAATTTACCTAAGTTGGATTTACCATTGCGCAAACCAACAGATGAGGATAATCCCAGCCACATTGGTCAACACAACGGCATGAAGGACTTCTCTTCAATGCCCCTGGGGACAGGTTTTAGCAGACAGTTTAGTGATGAAATAGAAACCCCAACAGCAGTATTAAGTCTTGTAAAAATGCTGGATGAAAGCCCAGAGAAAGATGTTGAACAAGAGGTCCATGATTTGACCGGACGGCATCCATCGGTTGCATCTAACTACCCTGTACCACTAGCCATGGAGTCTCACTTAGAATTCCAGAGGCATGTAGCTAAAACTGGACATATCCAAGCTCCCCCCTCTGAAGTCAAACTTCATTCAAATAGTGGAAGCCTTACTAACTTTGGTGGGCATGTGCTGGAACGAGAACCCCAGCACCCAACCTCCCTCATGTGGCCATTGAGGCCACGTCTTTATGACCGCTCAGTGCTTAGTACTGCAGAGGATTCTCAAAGATTTATTGAACCACTGACCCCTCGCACTCCTGCTGGGTATGGTTCCCTTGGAGATGCAGATTTAGACTCTCTCTCATTTCTCAGGGATTTAAAAATTGGTGACGCCCCTGAGCTACAAGATTCTCTCTATTAAGTATTGATTTGTGTGTGTTGCTTGAAAATGTTTGTGAAATATTACAAGTAGGAAAATATATATGTATTAGGGAAAAAAACAATAACAAAATGGAGAATGTTTTTGCCTGACCTAATTCGATAAAGTCGAAAAAGATGAAATGCTTACATGAAAATTTTCCATTTTGTCATAGCTTTTTCCCTAAAATTGTTCTTAATATATAAAAATTTATATATTGTTCTCCCATATATATATATATATATATATATATATATATATATATAATGAAAAGGTTGAACAATAAGAATGGGATGACAGCTGATATCTCTTCAACCCCATACACACTACATTTTTTTATTCAAATATGTGTATTATATAAGTATCAGTACATATACATTCTTGCATACACACTTACACACACACACATATGCATGTACATCTGTATGTCTATAATGATGTGTGCGCATGTGTATTTGTTTTATAGTCAAGGCAGCTAATAGTATCAAGTTATTGACTAGTTGCCTCTATTATATTCGTGTCACTTATGACTACTATTTTTTTTTTATTTATTTATACACTATCCTTCTGTATGTTTTAAGTTTATCTAATTTTAAAATTTAAAAAAAAAAATTTTTCTTTTAGAAAAAAATAACAAAAATAACTATTAACTAAAAAAAAATTCTTTGAAAAAAACAAAAAAAAAACAAAAAGAAAGTAAAAACAAGCCCAATATATTAAATACGATGAATTGAAAGAGAATCCAATTCACAAGACATTATTTTATTTTATTCACTCCTCCCTCCACTCTTGCATCTGTTTTAAATTTTTACATTCTTTTGATTTAAAAATTTAATTTAAAAAAAAAAAAAAAATAATAATAATCTAAAAATAAACTAAATTTGCCCTCACCTAATTTTTAAATTTTGGTACTTAGAAAGATATGAGAGAAACAAAAAAAAATTATACTTATGTGTGGTCTTGATTGTTTTTTTTTTTTTGTTTTTTTTTTTAAATCATGTGAAAGCATATATCCTTTCTATATTGATTCCCTGTCTAAAATTCTACGTAATTGTCCGTGTCCAGTGAGTGCACAACACATCTGTCCACCTCAATTAATTACTTTTCCAAATAATATAATTATTAATAATATAGTTTATATATATATATAAAAAAAAAAAAAAAAGCAATAGACAGTTTAAAAACAAAAAAAAATTTTTTTTTCCTTTTAGTATTTAGTTTTATTGAGCACCTACCATAGAACAGTGGTTAAAATGCTAGTCTTGCAAGCTATTGCTAGTGAATTATGTTCTCACTGGATACTCCACAGATGTGGTGTTTTGCCAAAGTTCCTTTTGTGTAAAGTCTTTTTTTTTTCTCCTGTATAAGGCTAAATTTTGTTGAAAGATGTATTGTTAATTTATTTTTGAGAAATTCATTACATTGTAGTGGACTAGTTCACTAAGCATAAAACAAAAGAAAATCTTTTTTTTTTTATTTTTTTTTTTTTTTTTTTTTTTTTTTAATAACAAATTTTTAACCTCCTTCCTATATAATAACCTTTTTTCTTTTTTTTTAACCAGAGCTGCTTAAAGTAACTAAAATTACATTAAAAAAAAAAAAATACTAAAAAAGGGAATTCTACTTGCTAGTAATTAAATTGTTGACACTTAAGAGAAAAATATGAGTCTCCAGTAAGATGGTGTGTATTTTTTTTTTTTTTTTTTTTTTTATTGCCCTCAGAAAGTGAGGGGTGTAAAGCAGTTTTCCTGGGGTGGTGGGTATTCTTCAAGCAACTCTGGTCTTAGAAAAATTTGAAATTTTATATTATCCATCTGTGTATATGGACACCCCCATAATGAGGATCAATACTCTAGAAGGAAATTTATTCAAAAAAGGATGGAATGATTTTTGATAAAAGAAAAATAGAAAAAAAAAAAAATTTATATTTTAAAAAAAAAAAAAAAATCTAGAAAAAGGTAAAAAAAAAAAAAAAGAAAAATGTTTAAAAAAAAAATTATTTACCTTTTGACAAATTTGGAAGACTAATGAAAAAATGTAATACACACACACACACACACACACACACACACATATATATATATATATATATATATATATATATATATATATATATACACACACACACATATACATACATATATATATATATAATAATATGTCCTTTTGGCTGGTTCCAAAATGAGTCGGATACCGGCTTTGGATCAGTTAAATTTTTTTTCTTTAATTTTTTTCACATCTTATGTTTTATCCACTCCTATTATTATATATAATCTTTTTTCTTGTGTGGTTATTGTATACACTGGCAGACTTGGTAACTGCCTCTCTGTTTGGTTTTATTTTTTATTAGAAAAAAAAAAAAAAAAAAAAAAAAAAACTATTTAATATCTCCCACCTACAGTAGCTTGATTGAAAGAAAGACTCTACAAGGCTTTTGTTCAATGTATGATCATGTCTAATTGGATTCAGTAACCACTATGGCACTGATTTCATTATCTCATAGGACAAACCATGTTCAAAAAAAATTACTGATTTTCATTTTTTTTTTCTTTTATTTTGGTTCTTTTCCACTCTAGCTATTTAATCTCCCTTCATATTCCACATATATCTCATTTCTTCTAATGTATTCTACTCAACAGATTTCAAAGGAAAGAGGAAAATAGACTTCTTTTTTTTATATATTGATTATCTTTTGTTTAACAATTTTTATTATAAAAAAACTATAAAATAAGCACAACTCATTAAGAACAAAGGGGAAATAAATTTAACAGAATTTTAACTAATTACAAAGTGTTAACACTATATAATTTTTTATTTAAGAAAAAATTGGATGGAAAAAAAAAAGTTTATTATTGTTAATTTAATTCCTTGCCATCTCTTTATAGTTTTTATTGCCAAATGAAAAACTCATTTTAAATTGGTTTATTTAATAATAATTCTCCTCCTAATTAATAATAATAATAAGGGGAAGGTTTGCTTAATATTTTTAAAAAAATACAATGTATAATTGTATTATCCATAACACAATATAAATGTAGTTTTGTCTGCTACAAGAATTTTCAGTAATGTTATCAAATTGGTAATGTACATGCAATTTATCAGAGAATTGCATATGCTTTGATCTCTAGAACTATTGTCAATATGTTTAGTCTTTATTATGATTCTCTACAAATTTTTGCTTATTTAGAGAAAATCCAAGTGATTTGAAAATTTCATATATATATCTCCGATGTGATGAGAATGAAAGTAATATATAAATTCCAACATCCACAGCATTAATCCAAAAGAGGGCTCGATACCGATAGTAGAGCTATAATTATTTATTTATTATAATTTTATCATAGACAAAAGCATTTTACTCACTACAAAGATGCAACTTGGTTTCAGTGCATTTCAACTTCACTTCGACGGGTGAGAATCGAAAAGGGTTATGAACAATCCTGCTTGTAGGCAAGCCGTATGTGAAACATCATTTCTTTTTTCCATTTGTTTGAGAAGAAAAATATACATTAAAAAAAAAAAAATGGTGATGGAGTGAAACAATGTTGCTTGTTGATAGCAGTTTGGGGAAGAATGGATTGGGTGTTTAATGTTGACTGTGGAGTTTGTCTTTTTTTGTATATTTTTCTTCTCAAACAAATGGAAAAAGGAAGTGATGTTTCATATACAGCTTGCCTACAAGCAGGATTGTTCATAATCATTTTCGATTCTCACCCATCGAAGTGCAGTTGAAATGCACTGAAACCAAGTTGCATCTTTGTAGTGAGTAAAATGTTTTTGTCTATATGATAAAAATAATATATATATATATATATATATATATATATATATATATATATAAAATTATTTACTTTTTCATTTTTTTTTTCTGTTTATAAAGTCATTAAAGTGATAATCTAATAAGAAATATATTTATTTCTTTTTATCATTTTACCTCCAAGCAAGGCAATAAAGCTATTAAGACACAAGGGGTTACTGTATGTGATAGAATATGAGAAACAATAAAAACATCAAGGAGAGAGAGAACAATAAAAGTGAACTGTTAAGGAATAAGGAATGGCACCTGATATTTTTCTTTTCTTTTAAATTTTCAAATCTAATAGATTTATACAGTTCTCTTCATTCAAGGGATCTTCTTTAGAACAAGATGAGCAACTTCATTTATTTTATAATGAGAAACCTCTGTTTAAAATGTAAATAATAAAAAGTGCTTACAAAATATAGCTAATGATATTTTATAGTTTCTTTTTTAAATAATTTTACGATATTTGGTTTATGACTATATGATTTCGATGTGATTTGTATAGAAACTGAATATTTCCTATCAAAGTAGACATAAAAAGCCAATATTATTTCACTTTTAAAAAATTATCATTTTATTCTTTTATTGTGATTATTATTGTTTTCTTCTCAAAGGGACAAGGCAGCTTCTATCTGTGTTCTTAATAATGACTACATACAAGCTGAGGAATCATTCTATGGGTAATAATTTTGTGGTAGCAATATCTTAAATTATTGTTATGCCAACATCAATTAGAAAAGAGCAAAATCAAAAATATATATATATATATATATATATATATATATATATATATATATATATATATATATATATATATATATATATATAAAAACACATGAAAAGTGAGATGTTTGTTAATTGACATAGTTGTGTATCTTTCTTCCAATCAGTAGTTGATGTTAAAGTTCAAATTAGTCAGGTTTTCAAATGTTGTTTTTTCCAAGCAGTTATTTACCTTCCCTAACACACACTCTCCTTACCAATTGGAAAGTTTGGTTCAACACTATATCCTCTCCTCATTCATATAACCATTTGCAAGATTAAGCTTAGTAAATGTCAGTCTGTGGGCCCAATTGGTGTGTTTATTTCTTACCTGTTAAAATGGTCAGTAATTTGATACTAATTTGTCTTTCTCTTTTTGAGCCATGTAGCAGAGCTTAGTTATATAAAATGTATTCAGGATTGAAAGAAAATATCTCTT